AGGGGAGTACAGGCTCAGGAGCACCCCCTGGAGGTGCAGGCACAGGGGCGTCCCTGGAGGTGGGATAGTGCAAACACAGGAGCACCCACAAGTTGGGGAGTGCAGACCCAGGGGCACCCCCTGGAGGTGTGAAGTGCAGCCACAGGGGCACTTCCTGGAGGTGGGGAGTACAGTCTCTGGAGCATCCCCTGGAGGTGGGGGTGCAGACTCAGGGGCACTCCCTGGAGGTGGGGATATAGACTCAGGAGCACCCCCTGGAGGTGGGGGTTGCAGGCCCAGGCAAGCTCCTGGAAGTGGGGGTGGGGGAGGGGAGGAGGGGAGAGCCAGAGCTATCACGCCCCCTCCTCTCAGGGTCCTCTGGGTTTGATGAGTGTTGTGGAGTCCCCAGCGCTCAGTCAAGCCACAGAGCAAAGTACAGGGGTTCTGGCAAGGCCCACAGCACCCCTTCTTACAGGGAGTGTGTGGGGGTGATGGGAGACAGGTGGGAGCCTTGGAGCGAGCTCCCAGAGGCCTCATGTGCCCAGGCTGGGTGGTGCTTGTCCCACAGGTGCAGAAGCTTCCTGTAAGGACCCACCTGTCACAGGCCAGTGGCCTATAGGGCTATTACGAAGAGTAGCCCAGGGCAGCCTAGCTGAGCAGGGGCCCTGGGACTGGCCCTTATTGACAATGGATAACTCCCTGGGCATTGCAGCCTGCAGCTCACTAGACTCAGGGACAGCAGGGGAGGGTGTGACACCCTCGGGACTGGTGGCAGTGGTGCAGCATTAACTGTGTGTCAGAAGCATAAATGTCAGTAGTCCTCAGAACCTGTGTTACCTCCATCATAACATTAAATTTAAGTTAAAAAAAAAAAGTGGGGCTAACTGCCTGAGCCTTCCAATTGAGGGCAAGGTGGACAAGTCTGTGTCCACTTTGGGACACAGCTCCTGTGACTGACCACTAATGCCTGAGAGCCCCACTAATATGGCACAGGAGACAGTCAGCCAGGGCACTCTCTCGTAGGTCTGCCCCTGCCACCGTCTCCTGCAGGCCCTTTTGACCCCATGGGGTTGAGATGGTACCTTCCTTCAGCTCTTTCTGTGTGTGCTGGGCTGATCTGATCGCTCTGGAGTGTTGTGTTCTGGTTCCCGGTGCTGGGGATGGAACCCAGGGCCCCTCACATGCGCAAGGCACATAGATGCTCTCCCGCAGGGCTTCTTCACCAGCCGCTGCTGATCACTCTGGGATCTAATCTCCCCCTCCACCCCTCTGAATCCATGGTCCCTGAAAGGTCACGCTTGTCCCCACGTGTAACCCCCCCCCCCCCAAATGTGGACCTTCTTGGGGAAGTTCCTGAGGCACCGATTCTGTAATTGGCGTGTGAGCAGCCGGTGCTTGGCCCCGGGCTCGGGGTGGAGGCAGAGCTGGGGCTCAGTGAACCTGTGCCCCCAGCCCTGCTGGCCAAGGCCCCACCTGGGGCTCCTAGGCAGCCCCCCGACTTCCCAGGAGTCCAGCTGTTTGCAGCTGTGCTCTCCTGGGGAGCGGTCCTGGTGATGGCCTCCTGGTCCATCCTTCCTCCCACGCAGGGTAGAGTCCATGTCTCTGGCAGACAGAGGGAACCCCGGGAACATCACTTCACGCTTGGTGGAAAAGGATAAGGCCAGAGACTGCCTGATTCCCATGGGGTGAGTGTGCCCAACGCCCCCGGTCAGCAGCCCACCCGGGGCCGCTCTCCCACCTTGTCCATCCTGCTGGGCTCCTTTGAAGACCCTGCTCTTCCCTTTTCCTTCTCCTCCTTCCGTGCCCCTCTCCCCCAGATATTTCCAAACAGGTTCCATCTCTCACCTAGGGGTGAGAGCCACCCCTCAGCCCTGGGGGCTAGCAGGTTGAGGAAGGGGGAACCTGTGCTTACCAGGTGGGCTAGTGGGAGAGCTGGGAGCCAGGCACCAGCCAGGCCAAAGGGCAGGCCTGCCGGCCTCTGGGCTCTGCGTCTCTGGCCAGGTGGGGGAAAGGCCCACCGCTGCGGGCCATGCAAGGTTTCAGGCAGCGGCGCTGGTGTCTGCACCTCCAGAGACCCATCTCCCCGAGGGGCCCAGCCTCTGCAGGTCAGCTCCAGCCCTGGGGTGTGGCCTTTCTAGCCCCCCAACCCCAACCATCATTGCCCTGGCTGGAAACCGCCAGGGAGAGGTAGTTTGTGCCTCGCCCCCCCACACCCTCCATCCCAGACCGCTGCCAGCCCCAGGATCTGTGACAGTGCAGGGGGTTGCGGGGACTCCACCCACATGGTTCGCTCTCTGCGTTCTAGGATCACATCGGAGAACGTCGCCGAGCGGTTTGGCATCTCACGGGAGAAGCAAGATTCCTTTGCGCTGGCTTCCCAGCAGAAGTGAGTGCAGCGGGGAGTGGAAAGTGAGGTCTGCGGGCTGCCCTCAGGGGTCTGGGCCAGAGCTGTTCTCATTCCACCGAGGGCCAGGGCAGGTGGCTGAGCCTCCTGCGCTCTAGGGGGTGCAAAGGAATGTGGAGGCCACGTCCCGCCCCTGTCTGCTCAGCGCCACTGTCCTCTATGGCATTGGGCCTGTTTCCCCAGCTGTGTGGGGCATATGGAGGGACCAGCACTAGGGGATGGGACCCAACGGCCACAAGCCTCTCTGGATAGCATGGACTGTGCGGCCGGCAGTGCTGGGGATCCTGGGCGCATCCTGAAGCAGGACTGGGGGTGACTCCAGGGGATGCCACTGCTCAGGCCTCAGGCAAGGGCTGGGCTGATGTGGAAAAGTCACAGGAAAGGGCGTGGACCCCGCTCCATGGGGGCAGGGAACCGCCAGGGAATCTGGCAAAAGCTGAGGTCTCCTCCCAGGCACTCACACTCTGCAGCATGGCAGGGGCGCCCTATAAAGTGTCTCGTGCGTCAAAGCGGTCAGACCCAAAGTCGGGGGAGAAGTTCAGTGAACGTCGCTGTAGCTCTTTGGAAGCAGACAGCCTAGCAGCAGGCCAAAGCCGGGTGCCGGGACTAGAAATAGGGGGCAGGCCCTGGGCTTGTTCACCCTCCCACCCCCCAACACACAGACATACACAGCAAACCAGCAGGCGGGTCTCTCTCGAGGACTCAAAAGGGGTCCCACCAGCCTTCTCCTTTGGGGTGGGATGGTGAGGAAGGCCCTGGAGGCTGAGCGGGGGGGGGGGGGGGGGGGGCAGAAGAGGTGGGAACCCATGCTCATCCCCTGGCAGCCTTGGTTGCCCAGCCCCTGCCCCCCAGGGCCTGAGCACAGCTCTCTCCATGGTGCGACAGGGCAGCCAGAGCCCAGAGCAAGGGCTGCTTCCGCGACGAGATCGTGCCTGTGACCACCACGGTGCGGGACGACAAGGGCACCGAGCAGAGCATCACTGTGGCCCAGGACGAGGGGATCCGCCCCGGCACCACCATGGAAGGCCTGGCCAAGCTGAAGCCGGCCTTCAAGAAAGGCGGCTCCACCACAGCGGGTGCGTTGGGGCAGAAGGGCGGGGCCAGCCCCTGTCGGCCCAGCCTGGGCAGGGGGGGGGGGGGGGGCACAGGAGGGGCTGACCCACCTGGGCCCTGCCCTGAAGCCTCGTCACCACCCTCTGTGTGCTTTGCCACTAGGAAACTCCAGCCAGGTGAGCGACGGGGCGGCCGCCATCCTGCTGGCCCGGAGGTCCAAGGCGCAAGAGCTGGGCCTCCCCATCCTCGGGGTCCTGAGGTCCTACGCAGTGGTTGGAGTCCCGCCCGATGTCATGGGCATCGGCCCCGCCTACGCCATCCCCGAGGCCTTGCGGAAAGCAGGTGGGGCGCCTGCTCTGTCTCCACCCACATCCCTGGCATGCTGTCGTGGGGCACGGGTAGAGGGGTGGTGGGTCAGGAGAGCGACCCTGTCCCTAACCCCACCAAGCCATGGACGGAGCCCTCCCTGCTTGGTGGCCCCGGCGTCAGTGCAGGTCTCTCCTTGTCTGCAGGACTGACAGTCAAGGACGTGGACATCTTTGAGATCAATGAAGCCTTTGCAAGTCAGGTGGGCCACTCCCCTCCCTGCAGCCAGCCGGACTCCGGGCAACCCCCAGAACCCCCGCCCCATCCCCACCACCCCGGGAGGCCGCAGCCCACACACCTCTCTGCCTCCCTCCAGGCCGTCTACTGCGTGGAGAAACTGGGGATCCCCATGGAGAAGGTGAACCCTCTGGGGGGCGCTGTAGCCTTGGGCCACCCGCTGGGCTGCACTGGGGCCCGGCAGGTCATCACGCTGCTGAATGAGCTGAAACGCCGCGGCCGGAGGTGAGTAACCCCTCTTGGGGATGGCGGGGGTGGGGGTGGGGGTGTATCTGGCCGGGGCAGGTGCAGGCATGTCCAGGTGGGGGCCTGGGTCCCCCGCCCCCCTCACCCGGTGCTGGCCATGTTTCCTCCGCAGGGCCTACGGCGTGGTGTCCATGTGCATTGGCACGGGCATGGGCGCAGCAGCCGTGTTCGAGTACCCCGGGAACTGAGCGCTGGCCGCGCAGCACCAGGGCAGCCGTGGCCGAGGAGAGGCCCCCAGGAGGCCAGCACGGCAGCCAGGACGCCTGGCACTCCAGCTCCGCGGGCCCAGGAGGGGACCGCACCCAGGGCCCCCAGGTTCTTCTGGGGTGGGGGAGGGGCTTTGTGGCTGAGAGGCAGAGCAAGCAAAGTAAACGCGCGTCACCCTCATCTCCAGCCATTTGTGTTGGTCTTTCTTCCATGCAATGTGGGTAACAATTTTGAGGGGGAGAGGGTGGCACACCTGGCAGAGCTCAGGGGACCGCTGTGGGGTGTGGGGGCCAGGACTCAAACTGGGTCGGCCTCGTGCAAAGCAGGCTCTACTGTCTCTTTCCAGCCAGGGGTGGGGGCGAGTTCCAACTGCCCGGGTCTCCCCGAATGGTGGCAAGGCCTTCAGAGCCTGGCCGGAAGCTGTGCCCACCCCAGGACCCCGGCTGAGGACTCCCATCAGTGCTGCCCGCAAACCTGGCCCCCAGCAGCAGGTATTGCCCAAGGCCCCTCAGGAGCCGGGCGACGGCAGGTCGTGTTTCTCGTCGTGAGAGCCTTGGCCCCGTACCCTCAGCACACACGTGTCCTCACCCAGCGCGCCTTTCACCAGCAGCGTGCACTTATATTCTTGCCGCATCCTGCAGGGAGGCAGGGCGGGTGAGCGGGCTCCGGGCACCCCCACACCCCCGGGGGACAGTGCTGGGCAGCTAGGGCCAAGCCGTACCTGGCAGTGAAGAAAACCTTCAGGACGACGGAGGCAGGGGGCCCGTTGACTGGTCGTGCCTCCAGCAACCCTCTTCCCGGGAAGACGCTGAAAGCCCCTGGGTCCGTGTCCATATTCTCCTGGGCTGCAGGAATGGGAAGGGCACCCCCGCAGGGGGACAGGCAGCTCACTGACGACCCCTCCCCCAACACACAGGCACACATAGGGCAGAGTGACCTGCGGGTCACTGGGGGCGGGGGGGCACAGAGGGCAGGGCCCAGCGGGATGGACCACACAGTCCCATCCACCCGGCGTACCCATGAGCACGACCCAGTAGCTCCTGCAGCTGCTCAGGTTCTCCAGGCAGAGCTCCCGGACCTGTTTCATCTTCACGAAGCAGGTCCCAAAGTCCACCCAGCTGGTGGAGAGCTGCAGCTGGGGCAGAATCACAGTGGCCTGCAGGGGCACCACCTTGGGGACAGAGACAGAAGCTGCCCAGGGGCACCCCCACGTTGCTGTGGCCCGTACCCCACTGCCGATCACCCTGACGTCTGAGCTCCCCCTGGACCCTGGGAGTCACTGGCCTATGCATCAAGTCCTCCCTCCCCGCTCTCCCTCCCTCTCCTCCCATGCCCCAAGCCCCTCTCCACAACCTCCTCCCCAGGGCCTTCACATAGGGCAGACTTTCAATCTAAGTTTTCCTTCCCCAGTTAAAGAGGAGGACAGGCTCGTGCCTCCTCCACAAAGCCTTCCCTGGTTTTCCAGCCTGGCCCTGGATCGGGGCCTCCTTGCAACACAGCCTGGACTCTGGGGCCAAGGGCGGGGGCTGGGTCCCAGGGGGCCCCTGGGGCATCTAGGCTGAGCCCCGCGCAACAGAGCCCCTCACCTGCGTGGCCTGGTTGGTGTACTCCAGCAGCAGGTCCTGAGTGAACACCAGCGCCTTCTCTCCGCTCTCACTGTGCCGGAGGGCCACCCCCGGCGGCATCTGCTCCGCCGGGAACTTCTGGTAGGATAGCAGTTCCAGGCTGAGGAGGAAGGACACGTCCACCTGCGCACACACGGGCAAGCCTGTCACCACCGGCCGCCGGGGGCACTGCCCTCCTCTCCCTCTCCCACGGGCCCAGCCCCGCCTGGCCAGCACCCAGCAGTTGCCTCTTGTGGGGTGCCCGGCCCCTCACACACAGACACACTGCCTCCCCCTCTCCGACCCCCGAGCTCATTCCGTGGACACAGGCCCTACTCGGCACCCAGCACCAGTGGGCGTGGGGTCCAGCTGGGCCTGCCCTCGGGAGCCGAGCCACAGGGAGGGACAAACGTTTGCCCCGCCTGTCATCCTCAGGTGGCCAGGCAGGGGCTAGTGCAGGGAAAGTGCTTTCCTTTGTGGTTGTTGTCTTCGGTGAGGGGGGCACTCCTGGAGATGGGACCTACAGGTTGGCTGCGTGCGAGGCAAACACCCTGCCTGCCATATCGCCTCTCTGCCCCCTAAAGCAGTGTTTCTATCCTGAGGACAGTGAGGAGCCTCTGGCAGATTTTAAACTGGTGGGGGCGAGGGGGCAACATGTAAGTCCAGGTCAGCTCTGCCTCCCTCGGGTCACTCCAGCTGCTGGGGGGAAACACAGCTGCCGAGAGCGGCGGAGACAAGGCTGTGGGCCCAGGGAGAGGGGCTTCTGGCAGGTCTGAGCCCTGGTGCCCTGTGGTTTCTGGGAGCCTTCTCACGGTTAGGCCCTGTGACTGACCCCACGTGCCTGGAGGGTGTGCCACAAGCATGTCGGGAACCCCTGGTCCCCTCTGAAAAGGGGAGTCAGGACTAGAGCCATAGCATGGCAGGGAGGGCGTGTGCCTGGCATACTGCCGACTCGGGTTCAATCCCCGTCATCACCTGTAGTCCCCTGAGCAAGGCCAGGAGTAATTCCTGAAGAGAGGAATAATAAGCCCCGACCATTTCCGGGTGTGGCCCAAAAACAAGTGAGAAAGGGAGCCAGTGCCGGGTGGGTGAGAGTATATCCCCCTCGCTCCCCACGGAGCTGCCGGCTACTCACAACACCAGTTTGGCCGCAACCACTCTGGATCAGAGAAGGAGACTGCTCCCTGACATGCTGGTTGCTGCAGGAGGTGGGGGGAAGTGAGGGAGAAAGGCCCATCTGGAAGGATGGCAGCCAGCCCCGGCTGCCACATGCCCGGCTCTGAGATGGGGAGAGGGACCAGACCTCATGTGTGCCCAGCGGGGTCCAAGGGTGGGGGGGGCAGCCTGAGTGGTTCTGGACGGGGTGTCTGCGCCCTGTTGGGACTCCCTCAGGGCACGGGAGTGGGCCCAACGGCCACAGACACTGACCAGCATATTCTCCCGAGGACCAAGCATTAGCCACTCCTGCCGCGAGGCTCTGCCGCGGCCCCTCCCCGCCTCGCGAGACAGAGCGAAGGGCTTGGAGACGGCGAGATGGAAGTAGTAGGGGATCTCCGAGGTGTTGACCAGTTTCAGGTGCTGCGTGGTCACCAGCTCGCTCAACATCTGGGGGGACTACAGGTTGAAAGGCTGGTGTGTATGTGCCCCCCTTCTCCAGCCCTGGGTTCTTGGAATCGGGGGGGGGGGGCAGGGGGGAGGAGGTGCTGGGGAGAGCACATGGATTTGTAAGACCCCCGGGACCCAGGGGACACTTGAGGTACAGGCAGGCCAGGCTGGCCAGGGGTCCAGGGCACTCACCTCCAAGTCGAGCCCCTGGGGCAGGAGGTCGCTGGCTGCCTGCCGGAACTCCAAACCCTGGGCCGGTTCGACTCTTAGCCTGGCAGAGAGGACAGTGCTGGTAGGCAGGGTCTCAGGGCCCCCAGCTGGCCCCCTCCTGCTTCAGGGGACCCTGGGCTCACGTGCCAGCTTCCCCTCCCTCCCGTCCCGGTCTTCTTGCCCCCAGACTCCTGTCTGGACCCCACCACTGTCCAGGCAGGGGGGCACCCATGGGGCGGCCAGCAGCTAGGCTCACTGTGCAAGTCTCACGAAGCTATGCAGGTCCAGCCTCAGGGGCCCCACGGCAAAGTCCTGGCCTCGCCGCCGGCGCCCGGGGAGCTCTCTTTCTACCTGCAGAGAACAAGCCAGGTGGCAGCTGCTGGGCCTGGGGCAGGGGTGGTGGGGCCCGGGATGGGCCCAAACAGCCTCACCTCCTTGTCCAAGCTCATGAAGCCCAGGGCGAAGCCAGCACACTCCACCTTCTGCGGGTGCCTGGGGTCTAGGACCATGGGCGTGAAGGAGATGTAGATGGTGCTCGAGCCGCCAGCAGGGACCACCTGGCACAGACAGGACAGCCTCAACACCAGCCCGGGCCCCCTGCAGGGCCCCCAGCCACTGCCCCCCCCCCCTCCGGCTCACCGTTTGCAAGGGCCTGATGCTGTAGGGGTAGTTGGAGGCCACCCCCTCGTGCTCCTGCAGGACCACCGAGACCACTTTCGCTGCAGCCCTGTCTCTGGACTTCCATCTGCCCTCATCCTGCCGTCACAGAGATGCTGAGGCTTCCCTGGGGGCTGCTGCTGCCTCTGTCCCTGCCCGCCCACCCACTGCCCAGCTCACAGTCTCGGCTTCCTGGCTGATGCTGGACACCATGGAGAGAGCTGGGGACAAGGATATGCTGCTCTCGGGGCTTTCCTGCAGAATCTCGTTCCCAGCCTGGTCCCGCAGAGGGAAAGGGGACCCATAGAATACCAGCAGCTCCAGAAGCTGGTCCTCCCGACTGTCGGGGATGAAGGTCTGCCAGTCCAGCCGGATGTCTGGGATGGTGGGTGGGGAGGGGCGGCGGGGTAAGGAAGTTGCTGCTGAGGGTCTCTGGACCCCACCTCCCCACATACCCCCAGTGGCTGTCTGTTCTCTGCCAATGCAGGGGCCCCAGCTTTCTTACTAAGAGCCCCATCCAACCAGCCCTTTTGATGGGCCGACACCACCGGATCCCCCTTACTTTGCGGACCATGAGACTAGATCTTATCACACATGAGCACGCGTCCATCCCGGCACCTGGGGTCTTTGCTCAGGGAGCTTCCCCTTCGGGCCTGCCTGCTGACCTTGAGACCTGCCACCAACCTTCTTCACTCCCTGCTCTCACTTCCTTGCCTGGCTGGGCCAGGCAGGCACTGCCCTGTGCATTTCTGTCTGACCAGGATTCCCGGGATCCTCATGCCCCATCCCTGCACCTGGAAGGCCCAGCCCAGGAGAAGTAGAACTGTCTCTCGAGGCCCTGCTGGGCACACAACCCTCCAAATTTCTGTGTGTGTGTGTTTGTGTGTGTGTGTGTGTGTGTGTGTGTGTGCAGTATTTTGTCGTTTTTGTTTAGGGGCCACACCTGATGATGCTCAGGGGTTACTCTGAGCTCTGCACTCAGGAATTGTGCCTGGCAGTAGTCAGAGTTCATATGTGATACCAGGGATCCAACCAGGCTGACTGCATGCCTGGCAAGTGCCCTACCTACTGTACTATAGCCCTAAGGTCCCCAACTGTCCACAACTTGAAAGGGGTCTCACTCTGCCCTCCTCACTGTTTCCTCCCCTCTCTCTCCCAGGCTCCACATGTCCCCCTAGGGTCAGGCTTGTCTGCTCTCCCTTGACCTTCTACCACCACTCTGACCTGGTGGTAGAGGCCTGGCAACTGCCTGCCCTCCCCCACCCACCTCCTCTGTCCACACTGTCAGGACAGATCCCACCTCCACCCGCAGGGGCCTGTCCAGCTGTGACCTCGATGCCTGCTTTCCCTAGAAATTCCCCCAGGCCCAAGGGCCCCTTGCAGGCAAGCCTGGGCCCTGGCATCTCTCCCCAGCATGCACAGCCAGTGCTCACCATGACGCTGGCAGCCTCAGCAGAAACCCCATTGCCCCACACCCCACTTTCTGCCCAGCACCTGGCAGGCAGCCCAGGTGCTGAGGAATGGCATCCCCCGCAGGTTCTGTCCCTCAGCAAAGGGACGCGGACACCCAGGACCAGACCAGCCCTGGGCCCCTGGGCTCCGGGTGCCAATGGACACCCCCTGCCCTGCCCAGCCCCACACGGCAGAGCCTGAGCTCCCGTGGGTGGCTCACCGCAGGGGCTGGAGTTGCTGAGCCGGAGCATCCGTGTCACCCTGTTTCCTCCAGACAGCTGGGTGCCAAACCTGGTGGGGGGTGGGGGGGGCGGCAGGCAAGGTTCAGGGGTCTGCAGCCACTGCCTCACAGACAGGGCCCCGGCAGAGAACGGGGTGTGGACGGAGGTATAGGCAGGGACGAAGCCCCAGAGGGGTCTGTCATCTCAGAGTCCCAAGGCCCAGGGTTAGGGGGTCCCATGATCCAGTGCTGGAGCTGCACTAACTCCTCCTGCCCCGCCCCAGCCCGCAGGACCCCCACTCCCCACCCCTACTTCTCCACCCCTGCAGGACAGCCCTGTACTCGAGAGGGTGAGCGGCTAGGCAAGCGGCTGAGCACGGAGAGCAGAGAAGGGCGCGGCCGAGACCTGATGATGGGCTCCTTCTGCAGCTGCCCGCCAGTGTAGCAGTTGATCCTCTGCGAGCTGATGGGGCAGCCCACCACGGCCAAGGACACCGGGATCACCATGGGCGCCAGCTCGCCCACCTGCCAACACGGTAGCCTTCGATCACTCTTCTCAGAGGCAGCTGCTGCATGCATGGGGTCCCAGGGTCCTCTGTGCACACCCCTCCCCCCACATTCCAGGTGACACAGGGGCTCCACAGGCTGCTCCCAACTGGACTCACGCCTGACACTCATCTATCACCTCAAAGGCCTGGTCCCAACTTCCCTGCCCTCCCGGCCCTCTCTGTTCTCCATCAGCCCCTGCACACATTGTCCAGCCTGACCGTCTTTGGCCTCTTATTGCCCCGCTGGCCAAATTTCTGACTCTCTATCTTTTTCAACAGGGGCCACTTCTGATGCTTCTCAGGTGACACGCAGCGATGGTGATGAAACTTAGGGTCTCAGACAGGCTAGGCATGTGCTCTACTACTTGGATGGTATCCGCCAAGCCTGTCTGTTTTTTTTTTTTTTTTAAAACTTCTTTTTGGAGAAAGGTAGAAAAGAAAAGAAATCGAGGGGGAAGAGACAGAGGGGGAGCGGGATCGGGGCCAAGGGGATCCAAGTATGTGGGTGGTATAGAGAGGTGAGAAAGCTAAAATATCCAGCGACAGTCAACAACACTGAAAACGAGAGGGAGGAAAATCTTTTTTAAAAGAAAAAAGAATGGGGCTGGAGCGATAGCACAGCAGGTAGGGCGCTTGCCTTGCATGTGGCCAACTCGGGTTCAATTCCCAGCATCCCATGTGGTCCCCCCAAACGCTGCCAGGAGTAATTCCTTAGTGCAGAGCCAGGAGTAACCCCTGAGCATTGCCGGGTGTGACCCAAAAAGCAAAATAAATAAATTAAAAAAAATAATTAAAAAATAAAAGAAAGAAGAATGAAAACAAGAGATCCACATGTCAACAACCAGACTTAAAAATGTTCTGGTCCCAGGGCACCCTAGAGGGGGTGGGTGAGAGCCCTCCCCGCCCCAAGGAACCCAGTTCTGGCAGCCAAAAACCTCCACAACCCAACTGCCGCCACGCTCAAGGATGCTCCCCACACGCTCGGGCCAAGCCTCACATATGAGTAAACATGACAAATCATAAAACACTCCCTAACCATTCTCCATAATTGCCACACCACATTTGATGGGGTTCAGATAGTAGGCAACAAATCATAGAGGGAAATATATATATATGCATATATACATATTTTCAGATAAATATACCAAAGCTCACATCACCCAAACTTTAACAACATGTTAGTGATATTCTATAGAATGTCTTAATGTCTCCTGCCAAAACAGAACAATCTTCACACTGTTTCCTATATGAACACTTTTTTGTAAGCATGGTCAGCAGTTCTTCATAACAGACAATATGAAATATATTATTTCAGTTGTGTTTTGGGACAGGGATTGGGGTTTGGGATGGGAACATCCCAAATTTGGTGGTGGGAAAGTATAATAGTGGTGGGATCGGTGTTTGAATATTGAATGTAATTGAACATTGTGAACTAACTTATAAAATTAAATTTTTTTTTAAAAAGCAATGTAGAGTTCATGCCCAATTCAATCAGCTTAATCAATGACTGAATAAATAGCAGTATCATTTGTGGAATATAAAGTTACCGAATGGGAGACTAACACCCAAGAACAGTAGAGATAAGTACCAGAAGGATCACTCCACAGCTTAGAAGCTGGCCTCACATGCTGGGGGAAAAGGCAGCTCAGATAGAGAGGGACCACCAAGTAAAGGGTTCCAGGAGCACCCACTCGGGATGGGAGATGCAGGCTGAAAGTAGACTATAGACCAAACATGATGGCCACTTAATTCCTCTATTGCAAACCACAACACCCAAAAAAGAGGGAGAGCAAGAGGGAATTCCCTGCCACAGAGGCAGGGTAGGATGGAGGGTACAGGATAGGGGTGGTGGGAGGGATACTGGGGTCACTGGTGGTAGAGAATGGGCACTGATGGAGGGATGAGTACTCGATCATTGTATGACTGAAATGCAAGCATGAAAGTTTGTAAGCCTGTAACTGTACCTCACGGTGATTCACTAGTAAAAAAATTTTTTAAACAAATAAAATAAATAGCAGTGCTCCTACATTAAAAAAAAAGTGCCGGTCCATCTATACAATGGAATATTACACAGCCACCAGGAAAAATAAAGTCATAAAATTCACTTATAAATGGATGAATATGGAGAATATCATGCTGAGTGAAATGAGTCATAAGGAGAGGGACAGACATAAAATGATTACACTCATTTGTGGGATATAAAAAAAACATAGTACGAGACTAATACCCAAGGACAGTAGAAACTGGAGCCAGGAAGACCTGTCCATGGTTGGAAGCCTGACACAGTTGGGAGTGAGGGGTGGATGGCAGTTAGGACAGAGAAGTGCCCATTATGACAATGACAGCTGGAAATTATCACTCTAGACAAGAACTGAGTGCTGAAACAAGGTAAAGGGATGTGGATACCCCTTCAGTAACAGTATTGCAAACCATCATGCCCAAAATAAAGGAGAGAGAGAGAGAGAGAGATTGAGAGAGAGAGAGGGACAGACAGACAAAGAGGCAAAGAATATGAAAAGACATTGTGCAAGATCACCTGAGTATTACTGGGTGTGGTGCAAAAACAAAGGAAAGTTTCCCTTTGTTGATTGCTGTGAATGCTATGCTAGCTTCACACTCAGTGGAAACAATATGTTTGTATGTGTTCACTGGCCATCAGATGCATATTCTGATCCTTTGTACACTTGAGGGGCTGGAGCGATGGGTAGGGCGTTTGCCTTGCATGTAGCCAACACGGCTGACCCGAGTTCGATTCCTCCGCCCCTCTTGGAGAGCCCGGCAAGCTACCGAGAGTATCTCGGTTGCACAGCAAAGCCTGGCAAGCTCCCCGTGATGTATTCGATATGCCAAACACAGTAACAATTGTCACAATGGAGACGTTACTGGGCCCGCTCGAGAAAATCGATGAACAACGGGAGGACAGTGACAGTGACAGTGTACACTTGGGATGTCTTTCCTATGCCATTATTGTCAGCAAAGTGCTCCTGTATTTTAAAGTGAACATCCCTTTGTCATGTGTGTGTGTCAGAGAGAGAGAGAGTCTTATCCCTTAGCATATAAAAATTATCTGCAGCAAATCACCTACACAGCTAACCTTCCAGGTGGAACAGATCGTCCATGAACTTCAATGTAATAATTAAACAGCAGTGGGTTGTGCACCCACATCTCAAGTCTCCACACTCACCCAGAAGCTCCTGGCTGTGAACTGGTCCCTGCAGCCTGCATGCCCGCAGGGTGGACACAAGGGCGCCCATTCACACTGATGAATGAGCCAACAAGGGGAGTGATGAGGAAGTGAGCCACTCCAGGTCTGGGGGAGGACATGGCCCCGAGCCCTGACTGTCTCCTGATGCGGGCACACGGCCCCTCTGGGCCCCTCTGATCTCTCGGCCCTGCCCACAGTGGTCCCAGGACTGCACCTCAGGGGAAAAGGTGTGGAAGGTTCTTTCAAGCATGAGGAACCCTCTGCCTGTGCCCACCTCAGGGGGCTCTGCAGAAGCTGTGACTGTCCCTCACCCTCTGAGGGTAGGCTCAGGGCAGCCACCCGCCTGCCCGTCCTCACCTCACAGGTGAGGCTGTCCCAGTACTCGCCCCACATGTTCGCACAGGCCGTGAGGTGGATGCGGAGCTGCTGGTGGGCTCCCAGCATGCCGCACGACAGGTGGGGGAAGAAGGCGGCTCCCTTCCCGTGAGACAGCATGGCCTCCATGAAGTCTGGGTGAGGGAGAAAACAGGACCGAAAAATCCGGAGTGACAACGTCCCCTGGCACCCCTGGGGTGGGAGTCAGGCTCAGTAGGCGTCTTATCTTCTGGGCCACCCCCAGCCCCCTGCCAGACCCAGGCCCCGAACACAAAACCACGCCTGGGGAGGACACGGCCACACTCAGAGGAGGCGGTGTGGTCAGGAGAACCTTGTTAGACAAGACACTGAGGGGGTCTTGGGTCCTGTCTCTCTCTGGTGGCTGCAGGTCTGTATCAATCATGTCAAATCCTGCTTTGGCTGTGACCCGGGTGCAGTAAGCACTACCAACATCCCCTGCCCCCCTCGGTCCTCAGGAGCACTCACTCACAGACTCTCACAGAGACTCTCACACAGACGCTCACCAAGAGACTCTCACAGAGACTCTGACCCAGAGACTCTCACTCAGACTCTTACCCAGAGACTCTCACACATACTCTTACCCACAGACTCTCACAGACTCTCACCCAGACTCATACCCAGAGACTCACCCAGAGACTCTCACCAGAGACTCTTAGCCAGAATCTTACCCACAGACTCACCCGGAGAATCTCACCCAGAGACTCTCACCCAGACTCATACCCAGAGACTCACTCAGAGACTCTTGCCCGGAGACTCTCGCCCAGAGACTCACCCAGACTCATACCCAGAGACTCACCCGAAGACTCTCACCCAGAGACTCTTACCCAGAATCTTACCCAGAGACTCACCCGGAGACTCTCACCCAGAGACTCACCCAGATTCATACCCAGAGACTCACCCAGAGACTCTCACCCAGAGTCATACCCAGAGACTCACCCAGAGACTCTCACCCAGAGACTCTTACCCAGACTCTTACCCAGAGACTCATCCAGAGACTCTCACCCAGAGACTCACCCAGAGACTCTCACCCAGAGACTCTTACCCAGACTCTTACCTAGAGACTCATCCAGAGACTCTCACCCAGAGACTCTCAACCATAATCTCTCACCCAGAGAATCTCACCCATAGACTCTCGCTTGTCCAGGAACGTGCGGATCCGAGGCATCTTCAGCAAGGTAGGGGGCAAGTCAGGGCTTTATAAAACAGGGCAGAGAAATGGCACTGAGTACCCAGAATCCTTCAGTGGCCTGGCCACCTCCCCGAGGAGCCAGCAGCCCCCAGGCACACAGCGGAAGGAGGCGGCCCAGGGTTTTCTCTGCCACTGTCTATGGTCCTTGTTCCCTCTGCACCCTTGCCTCCCCTGCCCCCAAAGTGTCCTCGCAGTGGGTGCCCAGGGATGGTCTCCCAAAGCCCACAGGCTCTGTGTCACGCTGAGCCCTGGATGCAAAGCCAGCCTGGGATCCCTGTCACCTGGGCAGTTTCTGCGACAGACAGGCCCCAGCATCTAGCCAGTGGGCAGAAAGCCTGAGCTTTTGTGCAGAGGGACCACAGACAGCCCATGGCTCCCACTGACCGGGTGGAGGCTTTTGTCAGCCTCTCTGCCCAATTGGCAGCGGCATTCTGGGAAAATGCGGGTGGCTCCAGGGAAGACACCCTCACTGGGTCGCTTTCAGCATCGAACAGTGAAACACCCTTACCAGTGTCTCTCTGAGTGGGGTAAGGCTGCCTCCAGCACACAGGGTTCTGCCCACAGCCAAGGATGCAGAGGCCTCCACGGGGGAGCTTGACCCTCCTCTCCTCCCCTGTGTCCAACACCCTGGGCTCACCCCCGCCCCAGCAGGCATGGCCAGCCGCACTCCGCAGCTCTCTCAGACACCCCCTCCACCTCATGGGTCTGTGGGGCGGGGGCGGGGGGTGAGGGAGGCAGGAGCCGCTTCCCTCTGTGTTCCCTGCCCACCCCCCTGTCCTCACAGCAATCAGCTGCTGCCCCCCGGAGGCACCCAGCACAGGACACTGGACACAGCCCGCCCGTCCATCCAAGGCTCCAGGCTTACGGGCCGCGTTTTTGGCTCAGGATGTCTGGGGGGCTCTCAAAGTACTTGAAGTGGAGGGTGAACGTGGTCTCGATGGGCGAGAGATTGGTCAGGACGAGCTGGCGGCTCACGCAGGTTCTCAGTGGCACAGCCGAGCCGAAGTCCAGATGCAGCACCTCCAGGGGGCCCGGCCATGACTCTGTGATGGACACACTGGCCCAGGCCCAGGACTCAGGGTCAGTTAGCCCTGCTGGGCCCTGCCCAGTGAGTCCCCTGGGACAGTGCTGCCCAAACTGCTTGGGAACTGGTTTCCTCCTCCTCAGACTCCCTCCACGCTGAGAGGCTACCCTATCCTTTCTGTCCATCCCCCCGCCCCCCGCCCCACACCAGAAGGGCCTTGAACGCCCCACCACATCCCCTGCCAAAGGCAGGTGGGCCTGGCTGGAAGGGGGGCCTCCCTAGCAGCAGCGTCCAGCTTGGGGTGCTGCAGTGTCCACAAGAGCCCTTGCTGTAGGGGAGTGATGGCAGCTCAGCTGACCCGCGCCAACTGGGGGCCACAGGTGGGAATGACCTGTTCTGCAACTCACCTGCTCTCACAGCCCTCCGTGCAGATGCCGATGGTCACCCGCAGCCCCTGGGGCCTCCCCGAAAGGCCCAGGACCAGCGGCTTCTCCATGCCAGATATGTAACAAGGCAGGGCAAGGTCTGTCAGCTCTTCCTACAAGAGAGCAGGGGTGTGCGGTGGGGGGAGGCTGGAGGGCTGTGGACACAGGCGGGTCCCAGCGGGAGGCCGCCTCTGACTCTGAGCAGTGTGGGAGGGCCACCCTGTTCCTCCAGGGGACCACCGTCCCGGGGACAGCCTGTCTGCAGGGAGCCTGGCCCTTCCCTCAGGAGCACATGGCTGGAGGCCTCCAGGTGGGCCTCTGGAGAAGCACCATGGAAAGCCCCCTCCGGAGGCAGGGGCCCACCTGCTGGCCTCTCTAGAGCAGGCCCAGCTAGGGGAGGAAGCCTGTTCCCGCGTCTATGTGGAGAGTGCTTCTTCCTCTTCCCCAGGCAGCCCAGGGCCAGCACCAGGCCAGCACCAGCAGGAGCCTGCTCTGGCCTGGAGGGAGAAGCAGGCAGCCGTGCTGTCCCTTGGAGGTTCTGCATAGGCAGACTCTCTGGGAAACCCACCCAGGCGGCCCCACTGCCGTGGACATCAGTCCAGGGAGGGCTAAGATGCCATGGCTCTCGGGGTTCTGGGGATGCATGTGGGTCTCTTCCCCAGGCCCCCAAGGGCAGACCCGAGCCCAGCGGCAGGAACCCGCTCCCTACCCAGGGCCAGGAGCTGGTCTCCTCTAGGCCTTCAGCCTGCCGTGCCTCACCCACCCACCTGCGTGAGAGCGGTCAGCTCCAGCTGCAGCTGGCACACCTCGTTGGGGCTCAGAATGCCCTGGCTGGGGGATATTCTGGCTCTGCAGAAGCTGGCCTGGTTCCCCAGGAGCTGACAGAGAAGAAGTGAGCCCGTGGACAGATGCCTGGGAGCTAGCAAGCCTGGGGCCCAGACTGCACCCAGCACTGCCAGTGCTCTGCTTCATGTGGGCAGACAGATGGGGTGGGCGGGCAGGGCTGGCACCACTGCCTGGAGGAGTCACAGCTGCCCACCTCTCCCCCTCCCCCCACAACCTCCCCAGATGACCCTCAGCCCAGAGCGGGCTGTCTTGGACTAAACCAGCTGCCCTGGGAGTGTGTGGTCAGGGGCAGAGGGCAGCTGCCTTGGACGCATGGGACGTGGCCATCTCCCACCCCTAAGAGTGAAGGTCTCGGCCAGCCACGGGAGAGGGCCCCATCTGTCCCCAGAAACTCCTAGGCAGGAACTGGAATCCCCTGAAGAAGGGGGCAAGGCAAAGGCAGGCCGGGCACTGCCCTCCCTCCGGGCCCCCTCACCACGTCCCAGTGGAACTGGGTGGGCAGGAGCGTGCCGTTGACCAGGGTCACGGTGGCCTCTGTGGGCACACCCACGTACAGGTCACACATCTCCACGTGGCTGCTCTGCAGGTACACGAAGGGCTCCTGGACCTCGGCGTACACGGGCAGGTAGCTGGCGGTCAGGGAGGAAGCGGCAATTGAGCATCCGAGAGGAAGGAAGACCGTCCCTCTCTGCAGGAGGCCGGTCAATACAGCCGGTTCCAAGAACCTGAAATTTTAGAACCCACTAGAACGGAGGATAGTTTAGTGATTTTTTTTTTACTGGCCACAACACTAACATAAAAAAAAAATCACAGGGGGCTGGAGCTAAAGTAAAGTGGGTAGGGCGTTTGCCTGGCGGCTGACCCAGGTTTGATCCCCAGCATCCCATATGGTCCCCCAAGCACCGCCAGGAGTAATTTCTGAGTGCAGAGCCAGGAATAACCCCTGAGCATTGCCAGGTATAACCCAAAAGGCAAAAAAAAAAAAAGTGTTGAAAACAATAAAATCACAGGGAGCCTGAGACACAGAACAGGGATTCAGGCACATGTCCTGTAGGTGGCTGACCCAAATCTGGCCCGACACCACTCAGTCCCCCACCCTGCACTGCCAGCTGCAGTCCCAGAGGCCTCTAAGCACCAAAGGGTCTGGGGGGAGCTGGGGAAGGAGCAGCATCATGGCCTCAGGCCCTCGCATTGCACCTCCATCCCAGAGGGCCCATAATCACCAGGAGTGGTCCCTGGGCTCCCTGAGCACTGCTTGGGGAACCCTCCCCCAACAAAAACCAGTCACAGATGAAGGAGATGACACAGAAAGGTTAAGAAAAAAAGAGCATCCAGTGCTTATTTTTTTCTGTTTTTTTTTTTTCTTTTTACTTTTGAGTCCCTCCCAGCAGTGCTCAGGAGTTACTCCTGGCTCTGCACTCAGGAATGACTCCTGGCAGTGCTTGGGAGACCATATGGGATGCCAGGGATCAAACCTGGGTCAGTCACATGCAAGGCAAATGCCCTCCCCACTGAGCTATCGCTCCGGCCCAGCATCAAATGCTTTTTATTTTTATTTATTTATTTATGTATTTTTGTTTTTTTTAGGGGGGGTCAAACCCAGCAATGCTCAGGGGTTACTCCTGGCTTTGCACTCAGGAATGACTCCTGGCAGTGCTTGGGGGACCATATGGGATGCCAGGGATTGAACCTGGGTCAGCCGCGTGCAAGGCAAACGCCTTACCTGCTGTGCTATCACTCCGGCTCCTCAAATGCTTTTTAAAAAGGAAATAGAAACACAAGTAGAATGACTATAAAACATATGTCCAAATGTATATTCGGTGCATGGCTGTGTACCTCCTCACATACCCCCTAAGTTTAAGAAATAAAATATTATCCCCAGACAACATAAGAATAGGACATTGGGCTAGGAGAGGAGCCAAAGAGGTGGAACATATTCTCCTGCAGGCTTGAGGCCCTGAGTTCGATTCTTGTCACTGCATAAAGTAGCATCCCCCACCTCTTAGCACTACCAGGATGGTGCTAGTGCCCCCCAATAGTACTGAGCCTGAACCCTCAACATCAGGCCCATAATTCCTGACCAAGTATCTCTCCGGGGATGATAGCTTGACCCCCAAGCCCTGTCCAGAGAGCCCCCTTCCCCACCCCCAAAAGGAAAAGGACACGATGCTTCAAACCCTTTGGGGAAAGAACAGGGAGAGGTGGCTGAAACCATGTCTGCGGTGATTCGAGAATCATCAACAGGAAGTGATGAGGCTCCTGATACTCTTGCAGTTTTGTATGTACGTGACATTTCATGCCGTGTAAGGAGGAGAAGGAAGGAAGGGAGGGAGGAAGAGTGGGAGGAAATACCACAAACAGCCTGACACACTCCCGGGGGCTCCCCAATGACCAAGGCAAGGCTCGGTTAAATGCACCACATGGAGGACGGAGGATTTGGTGGTGATGTAATCCAGAACCACAGGCTTTGAAGAGACCCGAGACCGTACCCCTAAAACACACTGTGTGCAAACAAATGCATCCCAATAACACAAGGGAGGAGACCCACTGTGACATTTCTGTGTCTGTGCCCCAGCCATTGTCTGTGACAACCGTCCAGTGATGAGTGTCCCTCCTGACCCAGTTCTGAGTCTTTCAGGGGTCTCAGGTGACCAGGAAACCTGCTGAGTGCTTGCCCGTTGCCCTTTTCTGCCCACTGGCAACACTCCTAGCCAAAGGCCTGCAAGAAGCCATCTGATTTCTTTCTTTTTTCATTTTTTTATAATTTTATTTATTGAATCACCATGAGAGCAGTTACAAAGCTTTCGGGTTTAAGCCTCGGTCACACAATGAAACACCCATCCCTTCACCAGTGCCCATTTTCCACCACCAAAAACCCCAGTATACCCCCATCCCACGCCCTCCCCCTACCTGTGAGGCAGATGATTTCCACATTATTCTCTCTCTACTTTGATTACATTCAATATTTTGACACCAGACCCACCATTATTATTTGGGATTTTATCCCAACACTCAGATCTGCTGAACAGGCAACAGTAGACAATTTGTTTTCTATTGCTGGTTATGAATAACACATGATGTCGCGTGGGCTGCAGTAGTGGCTGCGCAATTTTGAAATTCCAAAATTTTAACACTTAAATCTGGAGGGATTTCTTCCAAAACCTGCTGGGTTCTGAGATTTGTTCCTGAGTCTCTTGGATCATGGCTGTTAAGCAGCTTGATCAGGAGCCAGAAAGGCTGTTCATGGGTGGCGACTCGGGGTCTCGTTGGGACGGGGAGGAAAGGGCCGGCTCTAGCCCTATCCCATGAGACTCTACATGTCTCGTCACTGAGGGCCCAAACCTGACTGTCCAGTGGCCTCTGGCGTATGGCAGCCACTGAGCCGCCAAGAGGGAGCAGATGGAGGGACAGCACCCTTTCCCCCCTGGGCCACCTGACTTCTATGTTGTCTCCGAATGACCAGGCATGACTCTGTGGGTCGATGATGGTCACACCACAGGGGTGCGTATCACCTAAGGGTGTCCCCTGGGCCCTCACCTCCAGACTCCGTTGTCCACCTCCAGCTCCAGGACTGTCTGTAGCCGCTGGCAGCTCAGTGCCTCCAAGGTGATCTGCACACTGCAGTCACCCAGAGGTGGCACCAGGCCGCTGCAGGGCTCAATGGAGAAGGGGGACACCTGCTGGAGAGGACACTCAGAAAAGGACACAACCAGGTAACTGTCCCTTCCCCCCACACCCCAAAGCTGGCTCTGCCCCCCCAACTTTCAAAGAGCCACGCAGGAGGTAGAAGGAGATAGTCATGTGGGATTAAGTCTTGGGGTTAACAGAACCAAAGCCAGGGAATGGGGCAATTTCCTGGGGGAAAGGTGACAGCACTCCCCAAGTGGTCTGCATGCCCTTCTCAGAGGCCATGGAACAGGCACTGGTGGCATTAAAGGAAGTAGCCAGGGCCATGGCAAAAAGGTCATGCATGGCATAGGTTTTGCATGCAGGAAGCCTGGATAAATTCAATCCTTAGAACTGCCTGGTCCCTTGAAAAAAAAAAAAAACAATAAAGCGAGCTTCCAAGTGAAGCACACTCCACCAGAAAACGGAAGGACAAAGTTTTCTATGTGTTATAGATTTAACCCCTCACCCACCCATCTCCTCTGCAGTCCGCCCTGTCAAGATGGGCTCCTAGGGGCTACAAGATGGGGTCCTGGGCTGGGGCTGGGGCTGTGCTCTAGGGCTGAGTTCCTGCACCTAACAAACCCCGAACTGCAACAATTTTCCCCCCTAAGAACTCAAAAGAACACAGTCCAGATAGCTGGAGAGAGCGGCAGAATGGCCGGGACACCAGTAAGGAAAGGGTGCTCCTCTGCTCAGGGAGAAACACATAGAGGGAGACTCTGGGGAGTCTCTGATCACCAGGGAGTGATCTGAGCTCACTGTCCATGGGCTGAGGGACTCCAGGGGACACCCTGGCCCTTCTGGCTCCACCCATGCACTCATCTAGGGTCCAGAGTAGCCACCCCTTGCCCTGTAGGAGCTGCCCAGAGCCGGGCCGGACCTGGGTTATGGGGAGAAGCAGGGTAGGTGTGGGGGTGGTCTGCGGGGACAGCAGTGACCCTTTAGCCCTTGGTTTCAGAGGTGCCAGCAAGATTCTACTGAGGCTTTGGCACCCCACTGCCAACTCCCTAGTGGGTATGCCTGAGAGTGCCCAACTAGGGCACAGAGTATGGCTTCGGGGTGGAGGTGTGAGGGACAAGGACGAACCCAGGAACCTTGGTTTACTTGGTGTAAACCAAGTACCTGGGAATCCGGGTGAGATTTTGAGAGCCTTTTCTCTGCTTCCGCCCCGGAGCAGGGAAAGGCAGTGGCTGGTTAAGCAGGATGCCCCCCACCCCACCCCACAAAGCAGTGGGAGGGCGGGGCAGGTCCCCAGACCCACCAAGGCTGAGTTCCACACCGGGGCAGCTCCCTCCTAGGGAGCTACAGTCAAGCCCGTGCTTGAGGAAGGAGGTGCCCTTCCTGCCAATGCTGATGCAGCTAACGGGCCGCTTCGGGGGATGCGATTAGGGCTGGAGAAAAGCTTGGGTCCCGCACCGGCCTCCAGCGCCCTCTGGTGGCAGGGACGCGGATCGCGGGCGGGGTTGGGGACCAACCCTGCCCTTCTCTGGGTAGGTTAGCGGCTTCCTCCAGGCTCCCGCTTTCTGCTGCACTTCCTGTGCCGGCTGCTCCAACCGTGGGAGAGCCAGCCCCGTGTCCCAATTCTGCCTCCCATGGCAGAGAAAGGGGCATGGAAGTCGAGGACCCGCTCCCCCATCCCCACCCCCCAGCTGCCTCCAGTGGGGAGTGCCGGGAAACCAAAGGTACCAGTGGGTTTTTCCTCCACCTGAGAGCACCAGCAAAAGTTTCAGGGTCCCAGGGACCCAGCCAGGGGGCAAGGGTGGGTGCAACTCACGGCCTTGCCCCTCTCCTCCAGGCAGAGGGGGCTCTCGCGCAGCCGCCACACGGCAGGGAGCTGGCTGATGTTCTGCAGGCAGATGGTGCTGCTGACCCTCTGTCCCAGCCGCAGGAGGCCCAGCTGCAGGGACGCGGTGTTGATGACCAGCGCAGGCCCCTGAGGCGCAGAGCCGTCTGTCACCCAGCCGCCCTGGGAGCCGGCTCGGGCCTTCCCCATGACCACCCGGCCCTATCCCAGCGGCACCTTGAAGGCCGCCTCGATGTGTAACATCACGGGCCAGGGGGAGTTTCTGATCTCACACGGCAGGTCCTCGCTCATGGGCCCAGGGACACCCCCGGTGACGTTCAGCTCGAAACACTCCACCTCACTGGGCTCTGGGGAAAGGGGGGAATCAGGTGGACCTCCCCCGGGGCAGCTCCTTGGCTGGCCTGGGAGGTGGGAAGCTCCACCCCTGGCCACGGATGCCTCCTCCCCCAGCCCAGACCCCTTGCAGGAACCCCACCCCCCAGGAAGGGGTGGGGGAGCACCTATGGTCCCTGTGCAGGGCTCCACTTCCACGATGTGGCAATCAGAGATCTTGCCCCAGACGTAGCTGATGGGCGACTTGCTGTTGTTCCACATCTGAAAGACACCCACAGCCGGGCTCCTGGGGTCCTGCCTGGCCTGTCAGTGGCACCCGCAAGAGCCTGGGCTGATGGCGGTTCAACCAAGGCAGGCCCCAAGCCCGCCCGACAGACCACCCCACTCCATAGGCTTTGGGGTTTCTGTTCTGCCACAGACCCACGAACATCAGAAACGGCTGCTGGCCATTGTCCATCTTCAGAGGTGCCAGGAGGCTGCCCAGATGGGACCCTTGCTGGCACCCTCAAATCAGGCTCTGGACCCCTGGGGCAGCTGGCCTTCTCCGCTGGAACTGCCCCCCGACCACACCTAACTCCCCCTGCCACACCCCCCCCCCCCCCCCGCACGCCTCAAGCTGAGGACTGAGCTTACCTTAAAGTCTCTCTTCACCGTGGTGCCAATGTAGTTTTCCCCAGGGAGGAGGATGGCGTAGGGGTCCAGGAGCGCCTGGAAGGGCTCCACAGTGCCCTTCACCTCCACCTCCAGGATGATCCTGTCCTCCAGCGAGTATGAGATGTCCTTTGCCATTTCTGTTTCCAAGCTAAACAGGTGCCCGTGTGAGCGAGAAGCTGGCAGAGCCTGGGAGACTGGCCCTGGCCTTGGCTCTTTTTGTTTTGTTTTGCTTCGGGGTCACATCCAGTGACGCTCAGTGATTACTCCTGGCAGTGCTCAGAGGACCGTATGGGATGCCAAGGATCGAACCCAGGGCGGCCAGGTGCAAAGCAAGCACCCTACCCACTGTACTAAGCGCTCCAACCTAGATCTTGGTTCTTGTGGAAAGTGTTGCCCATCCAGTCCCAGGGCCCCTTTCAGGGCAGAGGCCAGTGTCTGGACACAGATGTGAATGCCCATGGCTATGACAACAGTGTAAGCCCAGGCCTGGGGAAGGGGCAACCCCCCTCCTGGCCCCCAGGAACCATACAGCCCGAGGTCCCCCATCCTGGGGTGTCACTGAGGCTGACCAGTCCCTGCTCCATACCCAGCACTGCTGGTGCACTCAGGGGAGGGTCTGGAAATGCCTGGGCCGAAGGGGAAAGGACACCTTCCTTTGCCACCCACCACCACACAGGGGGCCCCACGTGGGCTGATGTGTGGTCACCACAGTCCTCAGGGCCGAGTCCACTTTTGCCCTGGGCACCAGGTCTAAGGTCCCCCTCGTCCTGTCCTCCTGGGGGCCTGTCCCCGCTCACCTCACGGGCTCGGGGATCTCCTCAAGCACCAGATGCACCACGCTGTGGAATGGCCTCAGCTGCAGTGCAGACAGTGCCTGTGTGAGCTGGAGGGCAGGCAGCCACCAAAGCCCCCCGCCACACTCCGCCCAGAGGAAGGACAGCAGCGCCCACCAGGATGGGGGGAGCAGCGGGGGGGCTCCAATAGCTGGGCCAGGGACTCTAGGCTCCAACAACTGCCCACCATAGTGGCCACTGTCCAAAGCTCCACACTCCCAGGACGGGTGGGAGGTGCAGGCCAGGAGGGGTCAGGCGAGTCGTGCCGAGACCCCCGAACAGTGTCACATCTGCCCACGACAGGGGCCACTGCAGGGGGAGTTGAACTGACCTCGCCTCCCCTTGGAACTCGCCCCCACACACTTTTAGGGTGCTGCCCGTAGGCTGGGCTGGGCATGGGGGCACTTCTCGCAGCAGCACTAGGGGAGACACCCCTCTAGCTGAGAAAACAAGTCACAGACAACGTGTGTGGGGGATCAGGACTAGGCAAAGGGGGCGGCTTGGTCCCGCATACCGTGCATCATTCAATCCAAGCCGTGTGTGTGTGTGTGTGTGTGTGTGTGTGTGTGTGTGTGTGTGTGTGTGTGTGTTTGTGTGGAGGGTTGATGGGGGGGTAAGGAGGGGGGTCACCAGAGCATGTGGCAGGAGGGAGAGCCACCCCACCCCCCATTGACGGGGCCCTTTGACCTCATGAGGAGCAAAGGTCAGGATGAACTCGTGGTCCTCCTGCGCCCTGAAGACGCCCCTGTGGGGCGTGATGGAGAAGGCCGTGTCCTTGTCAGGGATGAACTTGATGGCGGCCGGGCTATAGGCCTCGCCGGGCAGCAGTGCCTGCAGGTTGGGCTTCAGGACCTGCCAGCGGAAGGGCAGCTCCACATGCCTGTGGGCGAGCCGGGTGGTCAGGCCTGGCTGGGCTCGGGCACGGGAAAATGACTGGCTGGGCCGTTCCCCATGGGAACCTGGGAGTCAGGGTACAGAGGAGCAGCAGTGGCAGCTCAGGAGTCCTGGCTGGAGATGACCGAGAGGCTGGATGCTAGAGGGTCAGTGGCTAGGGGGACCTGTGCTCCATCACGCAAATGTGGGTGCCCCTCAGTCCCCTCACCCTGCTGAGAGAGGCCAGGTCAGCTGCCTGCAGAGTCTCCCAGCAGAGGGCTGCCACACTGACCACCCTGCCCTCCACTCCCCCCACAGGTCCCCTGTATGGCCCTGTCCAAGAGGATGTGGGGTCCCTGGTGATCCAGGGCAGTAGTGACAAGTGCTCATTGGGGGAGGGCAGCTGATGCCCGCCACTGCCCAGGCGGCAGGAGTCTGGGAGGGCCTGCGGTTATTGGCTGAGGTTCCCTGAAGACTGTCGGGGGCGAGGTGGGGTGCTCGGAGGACGTCGGGACAGAAAGAGCCCGTGTGCTAAAGCCCAGGCCAAGGCCCATGTTCTGGGAAACTGCTCCTGGGACAGGCAGGGTGGGACAGCTTGTGTCCAGTACCACAGTCCGTGGGATGGGGGCCTTGTGTTCAGGACCTGGGTGGCTACGCAGACGGAGAGAGCCTGATGCTGAGGTCAACAGCACTCACTGACTTCAGGCTCAATAGCTACATTACTGGGGGCAGATGATGTAAGTCCGGAACCTTCCATGTTGGTCCCCTCTCCCCTGCCTACCCCCACCCCCCAGTGTGCCGGTTCCAGTAAGAAAGGAGAACGGGAGCACCTGAGGGCCAGTCAGGGGTGACTCACGTAGCATTCCTGATAATCAGCTGCTTTTTGGACACGGAGCCAAGGTTCATGGGCTCAAAGCGAATGAAATGCTGGGCCGTTAGGTCCGTGAGCTCGCCGGCTTCTGGCTGGCTCCTCTCCCCAGAGACAGAGATGAGCTCCAAAGCCACCAGCTGCCCAACTCCTGCCCATGGAGGTCAGGGAGGTCAGTCCCAGCGGCTGGAATCAGGACTGGGCGACTCCAAGTGCCCTGCCGCCCTCCGGCCCATCCCCCTTGAGCTCCCAGAAGATGGGGGTGGGGGGTGGGGGGTGAGGGGTGACAGAGATTGCTTGTCCCCACGTCCTCAAAGCAAGTACAGAGTGTCACTCCGGAGCTGGCGGGGAAGAGGGTGCTGGGTGGGGAGGGGGCCAGGCACAGGACACTGAGCAAGGGCTGCCTCTGAGCCCACAGGCTCCCTGGGCCCTGTCCCATATCCCAGGGCTGCTCAGAGCCAGGGCAGCTGCGTCCCCCCCAACACCGCTTCTGTCCTAAGTGGGGGACCCTCCCGTGTCCGTCCCCGACCGCCCTGATGCGGCAGGGCCTGCAGCCCACTCACCCTGCCCGTCCCTCCCCGCTGCACACACCCGCCCACCTGAGATCACCAGGTCCTTGACCTGACAGTTGTCACACACCACGAGGAAGGTCTTCTCCACCTGCCCTGGGCTTGTGGGAAGGAAGATGACCTGGGGGAGGAAAGGGCAGCTTCAGCCCCACCGTCCCCCCTCCCCAGGACAGGACCCCTCGCTGCCATCTCCACCCCCCTGATACCTAAGGCAAGAAGGGTAGCAAATAGGTCTGAAAGAGAAAGTTCATAGAGAACCAAAATCTTAATGACTCTGAAATGAGCAAGTGTTTAATCTCCTTGGGAATCAGAGAGGTAAGCGAGAGACTGCTCAGAAGAGTTTCTCCCTCTTCATGCTGGCCAGCAACAGGAAGCCAGCTGGTCTGCAGGCACTGGCTCCCACCCTGAGTTCCTTCCTCCATTATCTCCAGGCTGGCGCCTGGCTGGAAGGGGCAGAGGGATGGCAATGCCATGAGGACGGTGAGAGTTGATGCTGGCTGCAGCGGGGTAAGAGTACCTGGGTGGGGGCCAGAGGGATAGTACAGTGGGTAGGGCTCTTGCCTTGCACGCGGCCATCCAGGGTTCAATCCCCAGCATCCCAGGTGGTCCCCCAAACAACATGCCAGGAATAATTCCTGAGTGTAGAGCCAGCAGTAACCCCTGAGCATTGCCGGGTGTGACCCAAAAAGAAAGAAAGAAAGAAAAAAAAAGGAGTACCTGGGTGACAGTCAAACTATTCTGGCTCTTGTGCATGCTAAAGAATGTTCATGGTGGGGCTGGAGCGATAGCACAGTGGGCAGGGCATTTGCCTTGCACATGACCGACCCGGGTTCAATTCCCAGCATCCCATATGGTCCCCTGAGCACCGCCAGGGGTAATTCCTGAGCGCAGAGCCAGGAGTAACCCCTGTGCATCACCAGGTATGACCCAAAAATGGAAAAAAAAAAAGGATGCTCATGGTAATAAGATTTTAAGACTGATAATAAAAACACACTATTGGCAAGGGTGTAAGGAGACAGGCACTTTACATGTGGCCACGGGAACTATGAGGGAACAATCCACAGAGCAGGGCTAGTGTGCCACGACAGGCCCCAGATGACGGAATGCAGTCCGCAAACCCACATCGAGGCCTGACCCTGCAGCTAGATCAGGCCTGAGCACAAGCACGCCGGGGAGTGATTTTCTGAAATGGCCAGAGACTGGAAATACACTGGTGTCCAACAGGAGGTGCCCACATTCTGGTTCCTCACACCTCCCCCGCCCCCACCCATGGAACAGTACGCAGCTCTGAAAACAGGAGCTGGCCCAGAGAGGAGGGAAGCACAGAGCCGGGGGGAGACCAGTCTTGCAAAGGGAAATGGAAATATGTGGAAGAAGGATCAGGCATCTCACCCCTGGAGGACACACAGGACAGCAGCCTGGAAGCCAGGATAGCCGGGGGGGGGGGGGGGGGGAGCACTGCACTGCTGATCTGCTTGTGTGTCTCCCAACATTTCATCCTGTGAATTCCCTGACTTCCCCCTCTCACTCCTCCCCCCCCCCCGTCTCCTCTTCGTGTGTTTGCATGTGCGTGTGCACGTGTGCGGCCCCGGCTCAGGGGTTAGGGCGGAAGTGCAAGGACTTTATTTGGTGGCCATGGGGAAGAGAACCGAATGACACCCCTGACAGAAAGCAAGACCAGCCTCCACCCAGCAGCCACAAGGGCTGGGACCAGGGACGGGAGAGGAGTGCAGGGTCACGAGATGACAGAGATGAGTGACATTGGGGTCGGGGCGGGGGCAAGCAGGGGATTTCTGAGGGCAGTTGTGACTGGGGTCCCATGTCCTACCTCCAACAAGATGGTCTGCCCCGGCGCCAGCTCGAACACCATAGGCCAGATCCCAAAGGGAGGCTGCTCCACAAAGCCTGCGGTGACAATGGCCTGGGAGAGAAGCAGAGGTGTGCCCGGGGTGAGCGAGAAAGTGGGGCATGCAGGGCTCCCTTCCAACCGCCACCGTGCAAGAGCTGCCCAAGAGCCAGAATTCTGGTTCCTCAGGGAGCCTTCCCTGCATGCTTCCCTGGCCCCACTCAGCAGTGAGAGATACCAGGAAGACACCAGGCTGCAGGGGAGGGGGGGTCTCCCATAGGCTCCCCACCTCTCCGTCTCCCCTCCCCCTGCCAGCACCCTGCATTCCTCCCCTGGGGCGTGCTAGGCTCACAGCTCACCCTGAAGCTGGGTGGTGGCCAGCTCCCCTTGGGCATGATGCAGAACTTGCCGCCGCTGAGGCCCACGTTCTTGCACAGGAATCGGTTCAGCTTGATGCCCCCGATGAGGCAGAAGCCGCAGTCCAGCTCGGGCGACACTGCAGCCAGGAGATGGAAGATGTCGTGCCTGGTGGCCCTGCTGCCGCCACCCCCCTCCCCCCCTCCCCCGGGGCCAGCTCAGCACCCCAGAACCTTCCTGGAGAGGACCGAGTAGCAGGCAGCTGTGCCACTGTGTCCTGTGGGACTGGACCCAGCTGAAGTGTCCTTGGGCGGGGGGCGGGGGTCAAGACCTGGGCAGCGCTTTCCCAGAGAGCCACAGAGGCCAAGGGGCTGTGCAGGTTGAACTTGGGTGGGGGCAGGCTGGGGGAAAGCCAGGAGGGTCGCCGCTCCACGCTGCCTGTGATCCGAGTTAGCCCCCAGCACAAGCAGGCAGGACAAGGGGGCGCTCACTATTGTGGGGGGCAGGGGTCCCCCCATCAGCCTCTCTGGCCTGAGAGGACCAAGCCGGGTACTCTGCAGAGGGGCCCCAAGAGGGGCAGCCTCTGGAGGGTTATGTCACCCTGGACGCGTCACTCACGGGTCAGCACTGGAGGGGGCCTCCGGGCCTGCAGGGGGATGAGGAGCGTGTGGCTGGACTGCGTCTCCACTAAAATGAAATCATCGAAATCCCCAAGGCAGTCGGGGATAAACTGCACCACGAACTGGCACATAAGCCCGGGAGCCACCAAGCCGCCGTTTCCTGGGAACATCCCTGTGTATGATCAAAAGCAACGACGACACGTGGGTCAGGACCTGGGCCAGCCGGGCAGACCCCCAGGGGTGCAGGCAGACCCAAGGGTGCATACAGACCTCCCCCAAGAAATGCAGATAGACCCCCCCAAGGATGCAGGTAGCCCCCTAGGGATGCAGGTAGACACAGAGGAGTATACAGACCCCCCACAAGAGATGCAGATAGACCCCCAGGGATGTAAGTAAACCCTCCCCAGGGATGCTCTTAGACCCAGGGGTGCATACAGATCCCCCCAGAAGCACAGGTAGACCCCCAGGGATGCAGGTACACCCAAGGGTGCATAGACACCCCCAGAGGCATAAGCACACCCCCCCAGGAGGGCAGGTAGATCTCCAGAGGTGTAGGTATATCGACCCCCCCACCCAAGCTGGCACCCACTGAGTAGCCCTCTCAGGGCAGAGAGTATGTGAGAGTAGAACCAGCAGGGGGTGCCAGGGGAGCAGGACTCCTGTGGAAAGACGGGTTGGACAAGGGCGCACAGGGCTGGATAGGGCCGGGCCAGGCCTAGCTGGAGATTAGAGTTGCTCAGAGAAAATCACTGTGGCTGGGCTAGGGGCTATAGCAGCAGATGGGGAGGGGATTATGCGTGGGGCAGGGGGAGCCTGGAGAAGCAGAGGGAGGTTGGAGGGAGGTGAGAGCCATCGGGATCTGGGGGCAGAAGGAACAGCTCAGTGGCTGGAATGCCGCCTTCAGGTTAAGGGGAATCAAGGGACGGTCCATCCTGGCACTGCCCCGCGGGGTCCAGTGCCTGTGATCCCAGCACCACTGGGAGCACCAAAGACAGGTAGAGCCCCTGGACCAGGAAGTGAGGCCCAGGTGAGCGCCTGGCCAATGGTGCCATCCCACCCCACCACCCTGCATGTACCAGGACCCAGTTTTACAACACCCTGAAGGAATCACTGGGGGCAAGCAGAGCCGGGAGAGACCCCTGCCCAGGGGCTGCCCAGAGGCTGCCAAGGAGGTTGCAGGGTAGGGGTAGGGGCTGGGGTCCATCTGCAGTCCGCTGGGCTGGGGTCTGCTGTGAGGTGGGGGGGGAGTGCTGAGCTCACCCAGACTCAGGGAGAAGTAGGGCGTGGAGGGCGGGAGCACCCGCAGGTAGCGGCTGGTGGAGGTGGTGTTCTGCAGCGAGATCACCATCTGTGCCATGGGAGAGGGCAGTGTGTTAGACAGCCAGCCGCGGGGGCCAGCGGGAGGTGTTCCCCATTCCCTTTAAATAACGTGGGGGCACTGGGGCTTGACTGGCAACAGCAACTTGGCAAACCCTCAGATGAGGACTTAATGGTCCCATGGTGAGACACAACAATTTTCATAAATTTTCTTCCATGAAAATATTCTCTAATCACTGTTATTCAGTGGTAATTGTCACTGTCACTGTCCTCCCGTTGTTCATCGATTTGCTGAAGCGGGCCCAGCAATGTCTCCATTGTGACAATTGTTACGTGTTTGGCATATAGAATACATCACGGGGAGCTTGCCAGGCATTGCCATGCAGGCGAGATACTCTCGGTTGCTTGCCGGGCTCTCCGAGAGGGGCGGAGGAATCAAACTCGGGTCAGCCATGTTGGCCACTTGCAAGGCAAATGCCCTACCCGCTGTGCTATTGCTCCAGCCCTCAGTGATAACAAGCAATAGAAAATAAACTAGGGGCTGGAGCGAAAGTACAACGGGTAGGGCATCTGCCTTGCACGTGGCTTACCCGGGTTTGATTCCCAGCATCCCATATAATCTCCCAAGCACTGCCAGAAGTAATTCCTGAGTGCAGAGCCAGGAGTAACCCCTGTGCATCACCGGGTGTGACCCAAAAAGCAATAAATAAATAAATAAATAAATAATTTTTTTAAAAAAGAAAATAAACTAGGATGAGCCTGCTACGGGGGCGGCTTGAGGGGTGGTTGGGGAAATGGAGACAATGGTGGAGGGAAGGTGACAGCAGTAGCGGGCTTGGTGTTGGAACACTGAATGCCCAAAACAAATCTTTGTAAGCCACGGTGTTAAAATTAAGTGTGTGTGTGTGTGAGTGTGCGCGCAGCGGGGGAAGGAATGAATAATATAGAGGTTATGGGGGAGCAACAGTACCGTGGGTAGGGCATTTAACTTGCATGCGGGTGGCCCAGGTTCTTGGCACCCCTTGTGGTCCCCCCAAGCCCACCAGGAATGATCCCTGAGCACAAAGCCAGTAGCAAGCCCTAAGCACCACCAGGTGTGCTCCCAAAACCAAATAAATAAATAACATGAGCCTGAGACGTAGCACAGGGAGTAGGGCATTCTCCTGGCACATGAGTCAGGAGTGATTCCTGAGCATAGTCAGGAGTGGTAAGCCCTCAGCATAGCTGGGTGTGGAGTGGAAGGACAGGAGGTATAAATAAGCTTGCCTGGGTGCTGGCAACTGTTGAACTGGGTTTCAGAAATTTATTTGACTTCAAAAAAATTTTTTTTTTGTTTTTGTTTCTGGGTCACACTCGGTCATGCCCAAGCCTTGCTCTGTACTCAGGGAACACACCTGGTAGACTTGGGGGACCAGACGGGGTATCAGGGATCGGATCTAAGCCAGCTGCGTGCAAGGCAAGAGCCCTATCTGCTGCATGATCACTCTGACCCTCTTGTGCTATTTTACCTACTTTAGTTTCATTTGGGAAGTTTTCCCTAGCGAGAAGTTAAATACCAGGGGAACAGGAATGTAGAGAAGAGATCAGAAGAGAAGAGGAGCTCCATGCACGTCCTGATCTTTTCTATCTGGCGGGTGGGGGTGTGTGAAGTCTGCTTAGGAGGCCTGGGGAACCCTCCCAGTAAGTCTCAGCCTCCCAGGTGGCCAGTTCAGTGCGGGCCCAAAGATGCAATGCTGACCGGGTCCTGCAGTGCCAGGGCCACCCGGGCCACTGACCTTGGCAGTGCTCTGTGGCCTCCAGGGATTCCCCTGGTGATGCCTGGAGTACCTGTGTGCTACCAGGCATCAAACCAGGGCTGGCTACATACAAGGTGTGTATCCTCACCCCTCACCCTCAGACCTCCATGCCCTGAGCTTTTAATTGTTTTATGAAATATCACATTGGACAGAAGTGTACAAATATAACACAATAAAAGCATGTCTCTATCATCCAGCGTAAGATATAAAGCACTGGAAATGCAAAACAGAAGCCAAGATTAAGAAATAGGACTACATCAAACAACAAAGCTTCTTTACCACAAAAGAAATAAAGACCAGAACAAAAAAGAAACCCCACAAACTGGGAGAGAATATTTTTTCACCACTTATCTGATAAAGGGTTGATATCCAAGAAATATAAAGTACTGGTTGGGAAAATAACATCAACAACAACAACAACAACAACCAAGCAACACCTTCAAAATGTGGGGAGGAGAGATGAACAAAAACTTCCTGAAAATAGACAGATGACTAGGTATGGAGGGAGGGGGGAATCTCTACATCACTTACCAGGGAAATGCAAATCAAAGCAACAATGAGGTTCTCATCTCACATCAGTGAGACTGGTGCACATCAGGTCAGGTTACGGTCCTCCCGTTGTTCATCGATTTGCTCGAGCGGGCCCAGTAACGTCTCCATCATGAGACTTGTTGTTACTGTGTTTGGCATATCGAATACATCACGGGTAGCTTGCCAGGCTTTGCCGTGCAGGTGAGATACTCTCGGTAGCTTGCTGGGCTCTCTGAGAGGGGCGGAGGAATCGAACCCGGCTCGGCCGGGCTGGCTGCATGCAAGGCAAACTCCCTACCACTGTGCTATCTCTCCAGCCCTGGCGCACATCGAAAAGAACAGAAGTTACCTGTGGGCCGAGAGATAGTATAGTGGGTAGGACATTTTCCTTGTACACGGCTGACTCCGGTTCAATGTCCACCATCCCATATGTTCCCCCAAGCACTGCCAGAAATAATTCCTGAGTGCAGAGCCAGGAGTATTCCTTGAACATCTTGGTTGTATCCAAAATAAAAAAATTAAATACCCATATGAGAGTAGATATGGGGGAAAGGGACATTCATTCACTGCTAGTGGGAATATTGATTTTGGAAATCTTGGAATCTTGATTTTGGAAATCAAGATGAACCCTTCTCAAAAAATAAGGAATTAGGTCTCCATATGACCCAACAACTCCACTTTGTGGTATCAACCTCAAGGGCCCAAAAACTATTCAGAAGAAACATCTGCACGCCTATGTTCATTGTTACAGCACTATTCACCATAGCCAAAAATCTGAAAACAACCCAAGTGTCCTAGAGAAGATGAATGGATAGGGCTGGAGTGATAGCACAGCAGGTGGGGCATTTGCCTTGCACGCGGCCAACCTGGGTTCGATTCCCAGCATCCCATATGATCCCCCAGCACTGCCAGGAGTAATTCCCGATTTCAGAGCCAGGAGTAACCCCTGTGCATTGCTGGGCATGACCCAAAAAGCAAAAAAAAAAAAAAAAGTGAATGAATAAAGAAACTGTGGTATATATGTACAGTGGAATACTACTCGGCAGTAAGAAAAGATGAAATCAAGATGAAATCAGGCACTTTGCTGCTACGGGGATGGAACTGGAGAGTATCACACTGAGTGAAGTTAGTCAGGAGGAGAGGGCCTGACACAGAACAGTTTCTCACAAAAGCCCACAGGCAACAGGAACTGAGAACCATCTTCAGTAGAAGGCTTATCAGAAAGGGTTGGGTTGGGGTGGGGGTGGGATTAGGATAACTAGTTACTGGGACAATGACGAGGGAAGCTGACATGCAGGTGGAGGGTGTGGTGCTGGAATGTTATGAGCATGAAACCCTAACATTACCAGTTCTACAAACCACACGATACCTAAAAATAAAGTTAAAACACACACACACACACACATTAAAAATGCATATGAAGTCCTACACACAGCAGGAAACAGTTACATAAATGGATAGCTCCACTCTTTATTCATAGGTGAATATGAACATTAAATATTGACATTTAAGTTGCAAAAGACCACACTGGGTTCTGACTAGGTGAGCCGTTTTCAATGTTCATTTCTATTAATGAATGATCATTAGATCTAGTCATATATTTTCTATTTGGGTTTCCTCTTGTATGAGCTCGTATCTTTTTATTTTTGGCTTGTTTGCGGGCCACACCTGGATGTGTTCAGGGCTTACTCCTGGCTCTGTGCATCAATATCACTCCAGACAGGGCTTTGGGGGGGGGGGAGTGGTGGTCATATGAATTCTGATTCAAACACTGAGTACATGTAATGCTGAATACCTGCAATGCAGAAGACCCAGGTTTGATCCCTGACACAACATGGTCCCCTGAGTACTATCAGCAGCAATTCCTGAGCACAGAGGCAGAAGGAAGGAAGGAAGGAAGGAAGGAAGGAAGGAAGGAAGGAAGGAAGGAAGGAAGGGAGGGAGGGAGGGAGGGGGGGAGGGAGGGAGGGAAGGAGGGAGGAAACCTGGGTTGGCCACATGCAAAGCAAGCTCCCTACCTGCTGTACTACCTCTCCAGCCCCCCAAATTCAACCTTTAAGAACAGTAAATAACTGGAAGGAAATCAGACCTGGATAAATATTAATTGATAGTACTAGTTGAAAACATTACTTGGGATCATAGTATTACTGTGATGATCATCCCCTGCCCCCCACCAAAGACCTTTTCTGTTGGGGATACCTATGACAGTCTTAATAGAAGAATGACAGAATGGCTGGCCTTTCCTTGAAACCCCCTGTATACAGACATACATAGACACAGAGAAAGAAGTTGAGGCAAGGGAGTGAGAATGGGCAGCACCAAATTGGTATAACAAAAATAGCTGGTGAAGAACTGATGGGCATTAGTCTTTTCCATAGCTTTGTGTATGGTTTTTCCATAGAAGGGACCTGGGATATAGTTCAGTGGCAGAGCACATGGCTTGCCATATGTAAGGCACTGGGTTCCATCCCTGGTACCACAAAATAAATAAATAAACTAAATACAAATTCATAATTCTTTTATTATTATTATTATTTTTTGTAGCAGGAGCACACTTGGCTGTGCTCAGGGCTTACTAGTGACAGTGCTTAGGGATCATATGGAGGTGCTAGGGATCAAACCCAGGTTGGCTGTGTGCAAGTCAAGAGCCTTACCTGCTGTATTCTTTCTCTGGGCCCCGAGATCTTTGCTTTATTCCTTCTTTCCCTCCCTCTCTCCTTCCCTCCCTCCTTTCCACTCTTCCTTTATTTTGAGTCATGCTTGGCAATGCTCAGGGGTTACTCCTGGCTCTGCACTTAGGAATTACTCCTGGTGGTGCTTGGGGGACCATATGGGATGCTGGAGATCAAACCCTGGCCTGCACCCTACCCTCTGTACTATCGCTCCAGCCCCATCTGGACCCAAGATTTTTTAAAAAGTCAGAAAGCAGATGCAGCAGGACCTGTAAATAAACCAAAATCCTACCTCATAGACGGGTCCAATTTCATAGTCTGTGAAAAATCCAATTGAAGGCTTAGCTAGAAATACCGGGGTATCAGCACAGCTGCGGGAGGCAGAGGAGAGAGCAAGGTTGGATATCAATTCCCCTCATGCCAGGAAACAGTACCCAGGGACCGCCTCATACAAAAAAAGGTCATCAGTCAAAGATATTCACAAGATGCTGTGAAGACCATGGCATCGCAAAAGCAGAGCACAGGCTAATTCTACAGCAGGAATAAATACTTTGAAGACACACAGAGCTATGAATTTCACAGAAAAGACACCCCCCCCCAGCTTAAACAGCAACACGTTAAATAGACATTTAATATAAGTGCGTTTTTGTTTTGCAAATGTTAGTCTTTTCTCATGTCTACTAGTAACGAAGGTCTTTTTTCATTTTGTTTTGGGGCCATACCCAGGTAGTACTCAGGACTTGCTCCTCACTCTGAGCTCAGGGATCACTCCTGGCAAACTCAGAGTACCATAGGAAATCCCTGGAATTGAATCCAGTAGGGTCACATGCAAGGCAAACACCCTACCTGCTGTGCTGTTTCTCAGGCCCCAACAAGGTCATTTGTTTGATAAAGAAATGTTACCAGGGGTGGGTCTGGAGCGATAACACAGCAAGTAGGGCATTTGCCTTGCACGTGGCCAACCCAGGTTCGATTCCCAGCATCCCATATGGTCCCCCGAGCACTGCCAGGAGTGATTCCTGAGTGCAGAGCCAGGAGTAACCCCTGAGCATCACCAGGTGTGACCCAAAAACCAAAAAAAGAAAAAAAAGTTACCAGGGGTTGGAGAGAAAGTACAAGGGATTAAGGTGCTTGCCTGGCACATGGTCCAACCTGGTTCTCTACCCAAAACTACAGCTGGATCCCCAAGCACCATCAGGTCCAGTCCTGGAGGTCCCCAAATAACACTGAGTATGACCCTAGAGGCTCCCAAGCACTATCGAGGTGACCTGGTACCACCAGCACCACAGGGCCAGAGCAGAACCACATTCTCAAATCTTTGCAGGGAATAAAGCAGCACCAGCAGGGCCCCTACGCCTATAAGGGTAAAAGTATTACCACATTAAAATGATGAAACCATGAAAATAATAAACCTTTCATAGGAACAAATACTTAAATAGAGCCAAAGGCATCTCTTAGGAAAAGTTACAGTTAGGGGGCCAGAGGGAGAGTGCAATGGGTAAGGCATTTGCTTGCATGCAGCCGACCTGAGTTTAATTCCTGGCACTCCATATGGTCTCTTGAGGCCCGCCAAGAGTGATTCCTGAGCTTACGGCCAGGAGTAAGCCCTAGGCATGCCAAGGTGTGACTCTCCCCCAACAAAAAAAAAATCACAGTTTATACTAATTATTTATAGGTGACCAAGAACAGTTGGGGAAAAAAAATTGATGGCATCAGGTCGGAAAGACAGTACAGTGGATAGGGCATTTATCTTGTACATGGCAGACCCAGGTTTAATCCCTGACGTTCCCTGAGCCCACCGGTAATGTTTCCCAAGTGCAGAGCCAGGAGCAAGCCAGGAGCAACAACCAAGTGCGGCTCCAAACCAAAAAACAAACAAAATTTTTGAGTGGTGTCAGAAATCAAACCCAGGGCCTCACACATGCAAGGCAAGTACTCTGCCACTGAGCCCCGTGATCAAGTCCCAAATCATTTTATTATCCAAGAACCATGAAGTGGATGGAAGGACCACATAGCTAGAGTGATTTGGTGCAATTTGACCCCCAATTCTTCCAGCACTGGCAGGCAGAAAAGCATCAACTCAGAACTATGGGGGACTTTGAAAGGAATGTCTCTAGGAAGCCCGAAGCCCTGCTCTGTTCAGACACTGACAGACGGGCCCCTGACTCTAGAATCCTTCTCAAGCCAGACAGAGCCTGCCCAATCCCGGCCACACCCCAAGGAGCCAGAATGGGTCAGGGAAAGACAAACCTTGGTCCCAGATCTATGTTCTGGGATTCTCTCCGGGCCGACTCCTTGAGAGGAAAGAGGAGAGATGTGCCTCCGTACGGAGTGTTAGGAGGGAAAAACCGAGGGTTTTTCAGAAAGTCATTCCGACTCTCCATTCTGGCGAGCAGAAGCCGCTCCAGTTTCCTCTGTGGCATACACAGGTGGTTCATCCAGTTCTTATTCCTCAGTAGACCTCCTTTCTTTGGAAGACAAGGAAGCAGAGAATCAGTGACAGGTAGAGGGGCCACCTGACCCCACAACTTGGCTCAGTGTGTGTTCCGTAGATGGCCAACGCCAGCTCTCCCCTACCCTTGCTGTGGACACATCACGAGCGCTTGTGTCCTCTGGAACTCCTCCCCCCTATCACGTCCTGTGCCCACCACCTGCACACACTGACCAGGCTTCAACACTAACCAAGGCGTTTCCTTTGGGCTTGACTTTGGCCTTGATGGCTGAGACCCCCGTCTCACTGCTCACGGTATGATCTGACTCCTCTTCGCTCTCCGAGAGCTTCTTGAGGGAAACTTCAGTCCTCTTGGCCAGTTCTTTCTTTGTGAGGGAACACTTCTTTTCAAAACTAAATGTCATTTTTGTGTAGCCAGGAGTGGTGCTCCCTGTGGTACCAAAGAACCAAACTGGAGTTACCATACCAAGGTGAGGAGATGTTTCTGAGGTGACCAAACAAAACCACCAAAGCCACAGTTAGATTGATTGTTTTTCCAAATACTTCAAATTTACTACATTAGGTGTAGCTGCCCTTTGGGATATAAATTATTACTGGAAATTATTCGACGTACTTGAGACCTAGAACTAGGGGGTCAGGAGGCGACTCAGCTGCAGAGCACAGCTTCTCACAGTTGAGGCTTGGGATTCAATCCCCAGTGAGGAAGAAAGACTTGCAACTCAGTCGTTTAACACAAAATAGGTTTCTCCCTCCCTCCCTCTCCCTCCCTCCCTCCCTCCCTCTTCCTCCCTCCCTTCCTCCCTCCCTCCCTCCATCCCTCCCTCCCTCCTTCCTCTCTTTCTTTCTCTCTCTCTCTCTCTCCCCCCTCCACCCCCTTCTTTCTCCCTCACACCTCACTCTCTCTCTCTCTCTTTCTCTCTCTCTCTCTCTCTAAGTAAACATGCTTTTTACAAAGTTCACAGGGATTTGGGCTCAAGTAGTAAAGCACATGTCTTCTATATTTGAGGGTTCCATCCCTCACCAGATTTGGCCTTAGTAATCCCCAGAATCACTACATGTAGACCTAACAACAATAATAAATTGACCTGAAAATTTGAAGTTTGTATGAGCTTTTTTCCACCTAGAAGATCATCCCAAAAAGATTAAATGAGAACCTTCAATGTTAAGAGAAATTCAATGAAACTAGTCCTAGCAGACATTCCTTGGCAATTATCAGGTTCCTCCTGTTCCTGCTTTGCTGCAGGTTGAGTCCATCCTTAGTCTCTGCACAGAACAGTGAGTTCAAACATGGGAGCAGCAAATTGCCCAGAATGCTATTCTGCTCCCTTTTGCTGGTCTTCCTTACCTATGTGCTTCCAGTTGTCCTGGCAACTCTTTCCTCACCAGCATCCTCAATTTTGTAGATCCCAAACCTTCCTCCCTCTGAAATACCTTCTAACCTCACCACCCCAGATCCCAACTGGAGTTGAGCCCATCCTCAGAGCCTGGCATTATTATGTGATCTTGATGCCTTAGAATATGCCTTAGAATTCACACAGTGACTCTTCCAAAAACCTCCCTCCCTGATTTTAGCCTCCCCTACCAACACACACACACACACACACACACACTCATTCATTCTCAGAAGTTCTTGCTTTGAAGCTGGCCCAACATCACAAATGCATACATAGCTTTCTCAGGCACCCTACCTAGCATTCCTTCCACGCCTAAAAAATAAAATATTGCATTTTTTCCGGTATGTGGTAGGAGACAGCCCTACGTCCATGTTCTGACTCCATTAGGAACTTCCTCCCTTATTCATATGGTCATAAAATTCCTCTCTTGGTTCATTCAACATCTCTTACCATTATTTTTTTTATTCCGTGCTCTTGGGCATGACAAGAGTATCATGCCCCGTGGAGGAGTTAAGACTTCAGTCTGGAGTATGTTAGTAATCTGCTTAGCTTTGATCCTTCCCACAGCCACTATCATAAGAAAGGAGAGGGGAAACAATCTACAAGGTAGGGAATGACAGCAAACGGGAATAGAGGCCAATGTAGTCCTGCTCCTAAGTCACTTCCCAACAGGCTCAGAGGCTCGGAGAAAAGCATCACCTTTGGGTGCAGAGCAGAATGGCATGGGGTCACTGTGGTAGTCCTGTGGGCAGATGAGATGATGCTTCTGTAGCAGATCACTGTCCACGTACCATGGGAAGATCTTTTTCACTAGAGAGAAGGACAAAGTATGTCATATCAGATGGATGCTTAGGCTTCTGCATCCAAAATTTCTTCTTCCTTTTAGTCAAAACCATCTAGCACAATTCTCAGAATTCTTTTGAAGCATCTAGTTATCAAGTATTTACCAGACCCTTAAAAGAGGTTCGCTGTTGGGCAACACTATGTGATGGGATTATTCAAGCTAAAATAATGTTAATCATTGAGCGGTCTATAACAAATTAGAACTAAGGGGGTCATGGTGGATCAGGTTCCTTCACCTTTCTCTGCATTCACCTCCTGTTCCTGCTTTTTAAGATAGGGTTTGTGTGTGTGTGTGTGTGTGTGTGTGTGTGTGTGTGTGTGTGTTCAATCCTGAATTTGGTTATGGTATGTACTTTGGCAAAGAGATGTTGGCAGGGGTTTGACATGTGCTCTAACAGCTGAGTCTTCCCTCTTCAGTCTTTGTCATCATCATAGGAACACTTCCTGCCCAGAGAAGAGCCCTTGCACTTTCATCTTGGACCCTAGCAGGAATCCATATGAAGCAAATCTTAGTCCAAGCTGCACCAAGGAGTCAAATCCAGTTGGACTACAGTTTGAAGTCAGTCTAACCAGGCAAGTCCAGACAGCTGAGCCAACCCTTCCCCCCACCAACCCACTGCCAATGGAGGAAAACCTCTCTTCATTGAGGAAATGATCATTAATCTCTATGGTTGATCAGCCACAAAGCAGTAGCCAAGACATACTATTTAGAGGTATCAATAATTAAAGCGGGACCTGAACGATAGCATGCAGACAACCCAGGTTCAATCCCTAGCATCCCACTAATCTCCCAAGCACTTCCAGGAGTAATTCCTGAGTGCAGCACCAGGAGTAACACCTGAGCATTTCTGGGCAAGATCCAAAATGTAAAAAATAATAATCAAAGCTATAAAAGGTCAATTTTCGTGAGAACACATTGGGAGAGGTAGAGGATTTTTTTCAACCGACTCTTTTTTGGGGATTAGGGGATACTCTCAGAGGTGCTAAGGGCTCAGTCCTGGCTCTGCTAAGGGATCACTCTCTACAGGGCTCAGGGGACCATATCAGGTGTTGGGAATCAAATCCGGGTCAGCTGCATGGGAGGCAAGTACCCTACCCACTGTACTATCTCTCCAGCTCCTATTTGATGTTTTTAAACCATGCACATTAATACTTTGATTTAAACCATGCATATTAATACTTTGGTATTAACATATTAATAGACATCTAAATAGCCAAGACAGTGCCTCAAATGGCCTTTGCCTCTGGAAATTCCCTAGAATCAATGGTACAGGGCAGTCAGAAAAAGAATGCATATTTCTCCACCACATATTTTAATTTAAGAATATTGAGTCTTGGTCTACTCTAATAGTTATGGTTCAGTCAGGCGAACAGAAATTACTCTCTACACCAAACATGAGGGTTTGAGTATAAGAGATGACGGACTGGGAGAGGGATCAGAGAAATCAGTGGTAGCAACATCAGCCAGTAGCACCGGGTAGGGGCTTCTTAGAAGTTTCATGGGAGCTACTGTGAAACTCTCAGCTGCTCAGATGTCTGCAGAGAACTATGGCCTCCCTACCCAAACTCCCCACATGCCTCTCAAGAGTGACCAGTCCTGGGACCATGGGGGAAGGATGTGTTCTAGAAAACATCCCTGGCCACTCCTTTCAATAGGAAGACCTTGGGCCACATGCAGTGGTGCTTAGGGCTATTCCTTAAGGTGCTCAGATGATAAAGCAATGTCTGGATTAAACCCCATATGTCCCACTGTCTCCCCAGTCTGAAAATGACAGTTTTCAGGGATTGGGGATAACGAAAGGAAAAAGGGCTTCTTAGAGAAATGGCTGATTCTAAGCAATAATATACAAAAAATGTGCAAGATAGCCCTGCTTTGGGCTTTGGGTAGGGTGGGTATAGCAGGTAGGGCATTTGCCTTACACGCAGCCAACCCAGGTTCAATCCCCAGCATCCCATATGGTTCCCCTGAGCACTACCAGGAGTAATTCCTGAGTGTAGAGCCAGGAGTAACCCCTGAGCATTGCTGGGTATGACCCAGAAAGAAAAAAAAAAGATAGTCCAGTATCTCTTACCATTCCAAAAATGAAAGTTTTAAAAAGTGGAGTGATGTTGTGTTCAAAGACTTATCAGTGGTGAATCAATGCACCTGTGTCTCCTGACCAGAAGAGCCTAGTATAACTTAGTCAGTGCCATGGAATGTGCATCTGATCATGAGGAAACATTAGCTCCCATCTTTCAGAATGAGGGCCTTGTTGAGAAATGCTTAAGAGAAAGATTATGGGAAGATGCAGGGTGAAAGGCACCTGGAATCTGCCTCTATGTGGATTACAACTGCACTAGTCAAATCAATCTAATGTTATTATCTGGGGACTCTGAAAGCTACTGGAGGTGTATCACTCCCAGGGGAAGACTTAACTGTGAACAGTATCAGCTCTCAGCACAGTGATAGTGACCCATCCCGGGTCCTTTGCGTCAGGGTGGGCGTCTCGGGAGCAACCTTCACTGGACCCAGATAGCTGACCAAGATCAACTCAGAATGAGCTGGGAAAAATGTCAAGAACATGAAAGATAGGGAAATAAATTATGCTAAGCAAGAGAGTCTAACAGAGTCAGGGGACTGACGAGAGACTTTAGTGGGGAGGCACATGGATTCGCACGTGGCTCACCTGGGTTCAATCCCAGGACTGGATATGGTCCTTTGAGCATCACTAGGAATGATTTCTGAGCACAGAACCTGAAGTAAGCCCTGAACACAGCTGAGTGTAGCCCCAAAACAATAAATAGATAAATAACAGGCTTGCCAATGGTCTGCAACAGGAATTCCTGGCCAGGATCCTGGCCAATAAGGGCACAGGGCAAGAGTGGGATGGAAGACCAGTTTGATAGCAGTCTAGGGGCAGAGGGAAGCACTGTGCCATTGCCCACCTTCTGGTCTGAGGACCATCTGCTGGTTATGTGGGAGCATGTTTTGTTCCCGTTCATAGAAACATGCGCACCCGAGTGTTTTTGTGGAGATGGAATCTCATGTCTGAACCTCTGTCACTCTCCAAAAAGATTCAAGGGGGCAAAAAAGTAAATCCAAGCATATGGCTAGAGGTGGGGAAGGAGGAGGAAGGCACTCAAGAGACACACCTGGTGGCAACTCCATGACGGACCCAAGGTTCTCTGGACTGGGCTGCTGCATGCACCGCTCCTTCTCTGCAAGGGTCCGAGCCCGGGCCTGAATGATATGTTTCTCCAACATGTCAACTTCATCCAGGCGCCGCTTATAGAGCTCGCGAACCTGGCAGGTAGAAGATCCCAAGGCCCAGAAACAGTGAGATCCTAGAGCTCTACTCAACCTAATTCAGAATCAGGGCTTCTCCTGAAGTCCACAAACACAATAAAAGAACACAAGCCAACACAGGTGAAAACAGACTCATCGAGGGAAATGGCAAACTCAGTAACAGAGCCCGGGTTGTCATAACCGCTCTTGGCATCAGAGCAAAGAAAGCGGCCACGCAGAGACTATGAAATAAATACCAGGCATAAGTCAGCATGTTTCCTTGGTAGATGGGGGAAGCTGTGCTACCCCAGCCCATAAAGGGCTGCTCAGGAGCGCTGGGCGTGTCCCGGAAGTCCAGTCTGCCCCTTCTGAATTCATCTCCGCTGCTATAAAGCGCTCCCCTGAGACTCCCTTTCCGGAGTGTGCGTGGTCAGCACAAAACAGGACGCGCTCAGTTCCAGAGACGGTGCATTCTCCTGGAGGCAGGGCCGGAATGCCTTAAGGCTGCAGCCGTGATATCAACGAGCACACCCCAAAGGGAGTGACTTCTCTGAATTATCATCCCCAAGGAAAAATTGTTGCAGTACCTGCCCCCTCCTCTTCCACTCCGGTGTTTTACTTCTGCATGCAGCACGTGGACTGTGCAGAGAAATGAAGGTGGGCAGTTGCTATCAGATTCAGGCTTTGTCCAAGTGTGGCTGGGGCGCACTGTTCACCCCAGCAAGCACTGGTTGCTCCGCGGCATGGTCTTGCTCTTGCTAGAGTTGCATTGTCCCAACTCCAGCAAACCGTGCGCCTGGCACCCGACAGGTGCGGTCACTTGACTGAATCACGAGGGGGACCCGGTTTCCCCTGGGCGCGCCCGGGGTCCCCCAGCCAGAGGCGTGGCCACCGCGCCCCTCCTCCGTTGGCGCCGCCTTACCTCCTGCAGTTCGTCCACGAACTTCTCGTGACTCGCATCCTCGCTGCCACGGGCCTTGATCAAGTTGGTGCTCAGCTCTTCGCCAATGACCTCGGCGGTGTACAAGTTGCGGAAAACGCCGGTGAGCAGGTGCGAGATGTCCTGAGAGAGCAGCGAGGTGGGGCGCAGGCGCAGCATCTGGGGCTCCAGGAGCGGCTTGAGGAAGCGGGGCCGCACGGCGAAGTGTTGGTGGGCCGTGTCTGAGTAGGCGAGGGCGGACAGCCGGGCGGCCTGGATGGGGCTGTGCATGCTCCCGGCGTGCTGGGAGCGCCTCCTTGTTACACTCCGGGACATGTAGGACCCGGACTCGGACTTCAGGTGCTTGTGGCGCTGTCCTGTCTCCATGGCAACTGAGACGCCGCCGCTCGCTCCCAGTAGGCACTTCCTCTTCAGGCCCCGCCTCTTCCGCTTTTACACCGTCGTGGGAAGCAGGTGTGGACGGCGTCATCGTCAGAGTCACACGAGCAACATTGCTGTCATTAAAGTGCGCTGAGTGTTGAGTGGAGAAAGGGTTAATTTGCAAACAGCCAATCTGATTGCAAAACTTTGCTCCTAATGACCTCTTTGCACTCTCTAGTGTATTCAGCAATCATAAAGTCGTTTAATTAATTAGTTTATTTGTGGAGTTCCAACCAGATCTCATGCATGCAAAGCTTGCCCTTTACCACTGAGCCACATCCTCAGTCCTTTATTTAATATTTGTTGCACAATTTATGTCTCAGGTCTGCCATGAGAGTTGGTGATACCAAAGAAAAATACTACTTCTGAAAAAATAAAAATAAAATATTAAAGCACTCAGTACATATAGTTTTTAGTTATTTGGACCACCCCTGACAATGTTTAGAGATGACTCCTGGCTCTGCATTCAGATCACTTCTGGAGAGGCTCAGAATTAAATCCTGGTCAGCCATGGGCAATGCAAGCACGTTCCTTACTGTACTGTCTCTCCAGTTCCCTACATATACATATTTTAAAGATGCTGCCTCTGTGTGTGTGTGTGTGTGTGTGTATGTGTGTGTGTGTAGGGGAAGGGGAGTGTGTGTGAGAGAAACCAGAGACACGAGCTTGGAGGGTACAAAAACAATTGCAACTTCATGGGTTAAGGCGGGGGAATGTTGTTTGTTGGAGAATCACAAAAGACAGGAATTTAATTTGTTTCTAGGGTGAGCATGAGGAGGGATTTTTTTTGGTTGAAGTTAAGACAAAGCAGAGTTTGGGGGTGGGGACACACCCAGCAGTGGTCAAGGCTTACTCCTGGCTCTGTACTCAGGGATCACTCCTGGTAGTACCCCAGTGCACCATATAGGGTGCCAGAGATTGAATCCAGGCTGGCGGAGTGCAAGGCAAGTGCTCTGCCTGCTGTATTATCTCTCCAGTGCCACAAAGCAGAGATTTAACAGAATGAGCAGACTCATCATTACTCATCAAGGAAATTGTGGGAATTAAAACCATAATGCTCTGCTACTACAGACTTGGTAGAATGTCAAGAAATAAATAACATGCGATTGCTGGTGAGGAAGTGAGGCAACTTCTCATATTGTGTTGGGACTACAAACCAGTACTGCAGCTCTGGGAAACACTTTGGCAGTGCTTTTGTGTTTTGTTTTGTTTTTAAATAAATTTGCACCTGACAGCAACCCTACTTACAGGTATTTTTTTCCAAATGAAATGAAAATTAGCATGTACTCAAAAACCCTCCATGCTAACATTTACTGCAACTTTATTCATCATCTCTGAAAACTGGAAGAAATCCAAAAGCCTTATGTACAACTAAAAGGATGAGTAAATCATGATGTATCTATATAATGGAATATATTTAACAATGAAAAGGGAACAGACCATTGATATACCCAGTAGCATAGGAATGCATCCATTGCATTATGCTGGATCAGAGAAACCATTCTCAAAGGTATGGGCATTCAAAGTGATTCTATTTATATGACACAGTGGACAGTACAGAAAGAGAAACATTAGCAGCTGTCAGGAGCTGGTAAGGCAGCTCTGAAAGAGTATGAGAAATTTATTGGGATGACAAACTTGTCCTGTACCTTGGTTGTGGTGACAGTGACAAAACTGGGTTTTTCAAACCTCATAGAACTATATCCTATAAAGGGCAGATTTTACTGTATATAAATTATACTCCAATTTGTGGAAAAGGAACACCCAGAACAGGAGGAGGTTGTGCAGTGCTAGGGATCAAACCCATGGTTTTGTACATACAAGATCTGTGCTCTATGACTTGAGCCATCCCTCATTCATATATTTTGATTAATCTTTTTTTTGCTTTTTTGGTCACACCTGGCGATGCACAGGGGTTGTTACTCCTGGCTCTGCACTCAGGAATTACTCCTGGTGGTGCTCAGGGATGCTGGGAATTGAATCCGAGTCAGCTGCATGCAAGGCAAACGCCCTACCCATTGTGCTATCATTCCAGCCCTTACTTTGATTAATTTTTAAAGTGAAAATAAGTTGTAGGAGTATTCTGGGGAGGACACAAAAGGATACACTACAGAAGGATGGGTTTGTTCAAAAGTTGGGAGAGACCATGCAGGAGAAAAGAAGAGAAATTCAGGAATAGAACTTAAAAATTTTAGAGGAATGACAATGGTAAATAAGAGTTGGATCATATGTGGGTTTGGGGCTGGGAAGATGGTTCAAAATGCTGGAGCGTAGGAGAGCACCCCAGATTTTACCCTTGAGCACGACTGGGTACACCCCTGAATAGTAAAAATTATATGGCCATCTATGTTTTATTAAGAATATCCTGGATGCCTTGGGAGAACAGATGGAGGCAGGAGGTGTCAGGTGGATGGATTAGAAAAGGTTGGAAGAAGGGCTAGAGAGATAGCACAGTGGGTAGGTCACCTGCCTTGCATGCAGCCAACTTGGGTTTGATCCCCAGCATCTCATACAATCCCCTGAGCCTACCAGGAGTAATTACTGAGTGCAGCAGAGCCAGGAATAACCCTTGGGCATCACTAGTATGAGCCCCCTGGGAAAAGAAGAAAGAGGTTAGAGGAGAAGGACAGGGAGCTTGGCCAGGGGCGAGAAAATCAATCTGAAGGCAGAATTGACTAGACAAGATGCCAATGGGCAGTGAAAGAAGGGTGCAGGTGAGCTATGTAGCACCCAGGCAGGTCCTATCAAACCCCTCCACCTCCCCCAAGGAAGGAAAAGAACTGTGCATCCCAAGGCAGGCATTTGTATCACATGGCACTGCCATCCTTGGCACCCCATGGTTTCAACTCACAGGAGCTACAACTCCCCACTTTTTCGTTCCTGCGGTGCATCTGTGTGAGGCCCCTTATGCACTTCCTGAATGAGCCCCAGGCGGCAGCCCACAGAGTGGCCCATTTCCGTTCTCTGGGTGACTCCGCGGTCCCCCACCCAGTCCTCTCCTGAGCCTTTCATGCCCTCAGACTGTGTGCTTGAGAGGACTCTTCACTCTGCCTCTCCCCCAGACCCTCCTCTGCACAGGGTAAGACAAGGCAACACATCGCATGCCTGCCCTTCAGGGACCTGGGACATTCTGAGTTAACGGGAAGGGTCTGTGCAGGCCCCATGGCTTGTGCTGAAGGAACCAGGTGGGAGTGGAGTGGGAGGGAACTGGAACAAGCGACTGGTTTTTCCATTGGCTTGAAGGCCCACAAGGGGTGCAGGAGGAACCATGGGTAGGAGAGAAGAGAAACATCCTGGAACCTCCGCTGATGCACACAAATGGGCCGCCATCCTGGGTCATCTTGTTAGTTCAAACAAATCGGCTTGTACAAGTTAAAGATTAGAGGACAGGTTAGGGGCACAGGTTAGAGGACAGGACCATGTTCCTGCCCTTGCTTTTGGCCTCACATTTCTCTCCAAACAGCCTCTGAAACGGCCACAGGGAGCCTAACCTGGCCTGGATGAGACCTTCCCTTAATCTAGACCCCTCTGACCTTCTGCCGTTAGGTTCTTGCAACCAAGGTTCCCAGTGACCCTCTCATTTCTCCAGGGTCAATTGCCACTCCTCTGTGCTTTCTGCTCTCATGCTCACAGGACTCTATCTCATCCCTGTGATCCTTCTCTCCTGCTATCTCTCTGCCTGAGAGGCCGGATTTATCCCTGATTCTTCTGTGTCTGATACACATTCCAGTCTTGTTTACTCTCAGTGCTCGGCCAAACCCCTTCCCATGTAAGAAAGGGCACGCCTGCCTTGGAGCCACATGCCAGCCCCTGCCCTGGGAGAACCTCCCCTGCATGAAAGGCCACTCCTGGCTATACTGGGCACACTCTCGGCTCAGTGCTCGGGGTTACTCCTGGTGGTCCTCGGGGATCATGTATGGTATTGAGAACCAGCCTTGTGGGGGGCTTGTGGGAAATGCATACCTCATATTTTTCAAAGGTGGGTTTTACACCTGGGCTTTCTATGTAGTTTATAGGGTGTTGTCAACTGGAACAGCCTTGGATCTAGACGGTCTTTTCATTTATCTTCAGTTTCTCTTGGACTTTCTCCTTTTCTGAGGGGGACCACATTTTGCTGGGTGGTGCCTTAGTTTTTCCTGGAGAGATAGTACAGTAGGTAAGGCTCTTGCTTTCATGCAGCCAACTTGGGTTCAATCCTCAACACTCCCTGTGATTCCCTGTACTCCATTAGGAGTGATCCCTGAGCACAGAACCAGGAGTAAGCCCTGAGCACTGCCAAATGTGGATCAAGATATAAAGGGAGAACAAAAAATAAGTATCTTTTTGTATCTTTTGGGTCACATCTGGCAATACTCAGGCATCAATCCTGTCTCTACACTCTAGAATCATTCCTGATGGTGCTCAGGGGACCCTATGGATCGAACCCAGGTCAACCGCATCGTACAAGGCAAACACCCTAGCAGCGGTACTCTCCCTAAAATAAGGTGTCTGTATAGTGGATGAAGTATAAAGAAGAACACTTAAAAAGGAGAGGAGAGGAATGCAGGCATGGGAGAGGGGTAAATTTTAAATAGGTGGGTCAGGCAGGAATTTATGGGTGATGTTTGAGCAAAGACTTGAAGGAGCCAAGGCACAGGCTGGAAATGCTGCTCAGTGAGAATTCGTGCTTTGCACCTGCAAAACTCTGGGTGCAATCCCCAGTTCTACCAGAAAGAAGGAAAGGAAAAGGAGATGAGACGGTGGCTGTCTGGGGAAGAGGGTTCTAGGCAGCAGGGACAGGTGGTGATCCAATCCTGAGGCAGGAGTGTGAGATCAGCTCAGGCCTGTCTGTGGTGCCGGGGTTGGAACAGCAGTTAGCCGTGTGCAAGGCCAGTGCCTAAGCTCCGCACTGCATCTACAGTTCCCCATCACATACCCTGAAGTGTGCTCGTGCCTCAGAGAGGATCTGGGGCCCGTTCTGGGTCACAGTAAGTACGAGGCTGTGCTGTGGGGTGGGTGGGGAGCGAGGGAACACAGGGTGTGACCCACAGGGAAGCACACACTACTTACATCCATAAATAAAAACACAAAATGCCACAAATGGATGATGGGAAAGTGCCTCCAAATGACCCCAAACTCTTCCTGGATTACCGCTGGCTCCGGCCACCTGTGGGCCTTTGTGGCCTCAGTTGCTCCTCCCTGGCCTGGGCTGAGCTCCCTCCCTTGGCCAGAACTGCTCCCTGAAGGAGCCCTCACACTCTTTCTCGTGCTTCCTGGCTGGACTTGGTCCAGGACCCTTCAGAGGTTCTCAAAAGCATAGGGGACATCAAGAGCCTTGGGCTGGGCCCTGAGGCTGCCTGAATCCCTAGAGGCAGCTGGGAGAAGTCAGCTGTAGGGAGGGCAGTGCAGGGTAGGACTTCCCACTGATACTGCCCAGATGCCATTGCCATCCATCCTCAGTCGAGGAAAATGCAGAGCCGAGGTTTAGAGAAACACACTCATTCCCGTGCCCAGAAAAACGTTCCCACCCTCCCAGGATCAGGCATGGGTGTGGGGGAATGGACCCCATCTCACCTGCCCTCTGACTTATTCACATGTCCTGGGAGGGCCTGAGCAGCCTGGAGCGTGTCCATCCTGAAATGTGGCATTCTTGGGTTGGTCCTCCCCCACACCCCCTCCACTCCTGCCTAGGCCTCTGGATAGGGTCATAGTGGAGGGGCCACAGGGGACATGGGGAGATCTGCCTCCTCCACCCCCCACTGCCCCTGACCAGGTCTCCTGAGTCTAGAATCTTCCCAGAAGATTCCACTCCATCCCACCTCCTCTCCACCCCCCCCCCCCCCCGCCATGACCCTCAGGCACACACTGGATATAGGATGGTTAGCAGAGTGCTAAAATGCCCGCTATGTGAGTCCTGTCGGATTCCCACCCCACACCCCCACATGCGGGTGGGTGCCAGAGGTAATAGCTGGGAGTTGAGGGCAGAGGGAGCTGAATTTTGCAACTTTGTGGTTAGGTAGCAGGCTGCCTGCCAGGGGCCCCACAGGCTGAGCCCCAGGGGAGGGAGGGAGGGAGGGAGGGCCTCTCTGCCCATGTAGGGAGGAGAGGAGGTAAGAGGAGGCGGCTGACCCTCAGGTCAGAGCCGCGGGCTGTCTTCTGGAACAGGGCAGGCCCAGCCCTTTTCTGGCAGCCCCTGGTGGCCTGTGCCAGCTCTGAGTCAGCCAGGCCCATCCTGCCCAACGACTCCCAGCCAGGGAGAGGCTCCTCAGCAAGACTGCCGCAGGGGATGGTGGGGTGGGTGTGTGCAAAGGAGGAGGCTGCCCACAGCCCACTGGAGGGAGAAGGAAGGGGCAGGCAGGCCAGACAGAGAGGAGACAGGCTCCCTGGCTAGTCTGACGCCTGGGACTCAGGGGGGAAGGGGACATGAACAAATGGGGATGGTGAGGCCTGAGATGAAGCCAAGTCAAGTGCTAGGGCCTGCATGTCTTTGTGCCTCTGCCTGGACAGAGGAGCAGCCGCCCAGGAGGGTTGGCTGCAGATAGAGGGCTTGTAGGGCTCAGGTGTGTCAGAAGGTACCAGGCATCCCCAAGGGTGGGTGGGGGGGGTGGTGGTGATGGTGGTGGTGGTAGTGGTGGCTGGAGTCTGTGACCTGGTCTCGGAGAGGTGAGAGCAGAGACAGGATCTCACCCCCTTGTTCCCCACCGCCCTGAAACGGGGGCTCCACGGCTGGGCCTGCCAACATGGCTTTGCTCATCTCAGTATGGAAGAAGGCTGGATGGGCCCCTCAAGGCCTGTCCCAGATTGGGGTGGTCTTACCGGAGGACAAGACCCCAATCAAGTGGCCGGTAAAGAGCTAGAATTGCTGCAGAGGGAAAGCTGGGGAGGTGAGGAACTCCCAGACCCAAAGTCTAACCAGTCTCATACCTTTTTACTTGGGGGCTGTGGGAGTGGTTGGGCCATATACAGGAAATCCAACAGGGTCAGTTGCATTCCAGACCACCTCACTGACCCCTGGGCTATGTCCAGTTCATTCGCAGACAGGGCAACGGGTCCCTTGAGAACCACCAGGAGTGATCCCTGATCACAGAGGCGGGAGTAAGCCCTGAACACTGCCAGGTGTGACCCCAATACCCCACCCCTCAAGGAGTCTGGGTTGTAGGAACTGAGGATGGGAGTCGGGGTACAAGTAGGGGCACCTGAGAAATCGCTGTCACCCCAGCCCCGTCCCTCACTCTTCCGCAGATTGCCAGCGGTTTGGGGTAAGGGTTGGGGGTCTCAGAGGAAGCTGCCCTTTGCCCCTCGGCTCTAAATTTACCTCTTCCCCGGCCTCCCACCAAAGGCGCCCCGGAGCGGAAGCTTTGCCGCAGATGCGGGGTGCCCTCTTCCTTTCCCGGGAACTCCGGGCGCGCTTTCCAGCCCATTCCCGGGAAGGACACGCGGACTCTTGGGTCTCGCGGGTTGCCCGGGAGGACTCGGCGGCGCTGCACTCGGACGGGCTTGGCGCGTCCCCGGGATGACGCCGGGCTTCTCAGCGCATCGCTGCGATTCTGGCCAGGCGGCCGCAGGCAGGGCGTGGGGCCCCGGCGGCCCGCGGTAATGACAGGGCCGGGGGGCTGTGGGCGGCGGCCGCAGCCGAGGAAACGGGAGGATCCGGCTATTCCTGGCGGGCTGGGCCGAACCTCCCCACCCGCAGCGCCGGGTCCCCCGGACGGGGCGGGGAGAGGCGCGCGGGTTGGCGGGCCCAGGGGGCGGACGGGGCGGAGTCCCCTGCCCCTCCTGCCTCCGCCCCCCGCAGTGTCTTCGCGTCGCACCAGCTCAGCTGGGCGAGGAGGTGAGTCGCCCCGCATAGTCGCCGCACACACGTGCGCCCCGCGGCGCCCCCATATCGGGTATGGACTCGGGCCGGGACTTCCTGACCCTGCACGGTGAGTTCTGGGGGGACGCGCGGGGAGACTCTGTAGGGGGCCGATCGCGCCCGAAGCCGCTCCGGGACACAGACGGGGGACCCCCGGCCTCTTGGGCCGTCCCGTCCCGTAGCCTTTTGGTCACTTTTGGGGAAGTCTCGGCGCTAGTTCCCCTCCCAGAGGTGGGATCGCACGCGTGCGCGCGCGCGGGAGGACACGGCTCTGGGTCTTAGCCCCCGGAGTTGGGGGAAGGTAGGGGGTGCAGGGAGGAAGAGCTGCCTCGGGGGCTGCCCCGGACCCCGGGTGAGGAAGCGCTCCAAGGGCCGGCGCTCAGCTGGCCTGAGCCGAGCAGGGAGAGGCTTCGGTGAAAAAAAGCAAAATCTCCCCGCCCGGTCCGGAGCGTCCCGAGAGGCTCCCCCAAAGTCTTGGCGTGCCTGGAGCGCGTCAGCCGCGCGGGTGTGTCGGGGCTGCGGGATCCAGGGGCGGGGCGGGGTGGCTGCCAGCTCCGCCACGGTCCCTGTGTGCCGCTTTAGGTCTCAGCTCGGCCATCGGAGGCCGCGGTGCCCGCCGAGCCGAGCCGGAGCCGTCGGATTGTGCCCCCCGCCCTTACCCCTCCGCACCGCCTAGGTGGGCCGGGCTGGGGCTCAGCTCCTATCTGCTCACTGGCTCCACCCTTCGTCCTGCGGAGTTGGGTCCCGCCAGCTCCTGGCCGAATTGCTGTGGCTCCAGAGCTCAAGAATCTGAGGTCTTATGGCTCCACCTGGACCCGCGGTCTGGGCTGGGCATTTGGCATCAGTCTAGGAAGAACTTGCTTTCCTGGGGCCTCCAAACATCTGTCACTCAGATCCTCAAATGTTGACCCTGTATGGTTGAATCCCTCAACAAAGGCTGCTTAACGTCCTGTTTCCTGGCACGGGTGTGGCTGGTGGGTCTGAGTGCCCACTCCATCCCCAACCAAACACAGACATAATAGAAGAGAAGGAGAAAGGCAGAGTCCTCCAGCAGCCCACTAGGACCCCCTCGGATGGAGGGCGATCAGCCACCCTATGCGTCTCAGGGTGGCCAGTTGGCCTTAGGGAGACCATGCCGGGGCTCAGACTGTCTCCCTTATGCTACTGGCCTGGGCTCCTGAAAGCATCTAGTCCCTGCCCCTTTGTGTAGTCCTCAGCTTTTCTTGGCCAGAGGTGTCCTCTGTGCTCCTGCCAGGCCGGTAGCAAGGGAGACTGGGCAGCTCCGAGGTCACTCCGAGAGGAGATCTGCTTTCTCCCTTGGTGAGTGCCGGCAACCTCCTCCAGGAAGCCCCAACAGGCTTGCTTCCTGAAAGCTTTTAGTCAGCTCCTGCTGACTGACAACTTCAGTGCCAGGAGTGAGGAGCAGGTACCATCCTGTGTCCCCCGGCTCTCCCACAACCTGGGTGTCGTCCTAGAGAGGAAGCGTGTGGGGTCTGTGACATGGGTGCAGTCGCCCTGGCCCACCACATGCCCAGACACCACCACCTCTGCAGTCTCCCTGAAGCCCCCGCCACTTTGACCTCAGCACCCCTAATGGCTTTCCGTAACTGACCTCATGGAAAGGCTCCTTTGCAAAGCAGACAGGAAGGAGAAACCGGTTAAGGAGAATGGGCTGGGGAGGGCAGAGGGTGTCACTGGGCCCTAGGTTCCACTTCCTGGTCATCTAAACACTCACTGGGAGTCTGCATCCCTTTCATAGTTGGGGGTCCCACAGTGTTGGACATGTGCTAGAGGACCATACTCTCCGACTCGGGCACTGGGGAGTGTTCTAGAGAAAGAACTTCATTGACTGGGAGGTTCCCAGCCCTGCACACTCTGAGCTGTCCCTTCTCTCCCCGCCATCCCCCCCCCCCCCATGCAGCAGACATGGATTCCAAAGGCTGAGTAGTTACGTGAGTTCAAGCCTTCACTCTTATTTTCAGCTCAGACAAAGCACTGGCTTTCTTTTTGCCTTCATTTTCATGTCTGTAAAATGGGACACTGAAGCACTAACTGGTCCATAGGGATGCTGAGAGAATTGCATGAGGCAGTGCCTATAAAACAGCTAGAACAGTGACTGGTCTCAGTGGGTACCCAGTTCCAGGCAAAGCCCACCACCCCCTGGGATCATGATTATCTGCAGGGATTTGGGAGATAATGGGATGAGAAAATAGTCTTAGGTAGGAAAATTGTAACCAGAACTAGCCCAGGAACTGAGGGCTCCATCCCTTTCCTCCAAAGGTCTTGGAATGATGCTCTAATCCCTGGCTTTCTCTCTTACCCACTTCCTTTGCTGCCTGCACTTGGGTCTGGCCTGCACTGACTTCTGCAACAGGTCTTCAGATGTGCCTGAAAAGATGCTACTTCACAGAACCCTCCTTTCAGCGACCTCCTCCATCTTCACTCACCTTCTCTCCAGCTTGCCCTTCTTGCCTCACTGTAGTAGCTGGCACTGAAAGGTGGAAGGCTGGTTCCAGGAGAGGCCCAACCTTGGTCGCAGAAGACTTGGGCTCCAGATAAGCTTTGCCTCTATTTACTGTGCGACCCTGAGTTAATTCCCTTTGCTTCTTGGGTCATTTTTTTTTTTTCTCTTTTTGGATCACACCCAGTGATGCACAGGGGTTACTCCTGGCTCATACACTCAGGAATTACTCCTGGCAGTGCTTGGGGGACTATATGGGATGCTTGGAAATTGAACCCGGGTCAGCCATGTGCAAGGCAAACGCCCTCCAGCCCCAGGGCCTGTTGTTTATTTTTTCATCCACAGGCTTGTAATACCTATCTCACAGGTGCTGTTCTGCGGATAAAACTCTGGTGGTCACAGGAGAGCTACACTGGCTAAAAAGCCAGCAGTCCGAAGAGATGATGATTCTAGAGTCATCAGAATAAACTGGTGGTTAGCCCTCTCCCCACCTCAGTCACCTTTCAAATCCAGACCCAGAGTACATAAACACATTGATCACTTTGGCTGTTAGGTGAATATGGGAACTTATTTTTTTGTTTTTCTTGAGCCACACATAGCAGTGCTTGGGGGACAATATGGTGTGCTGGGGATTGAACCCAGGCTTGTAGCGTGCCAGGCAAATGCCTTGCCCACTGTTCTTTTCGCCAGCCTTTTGGGATGTTTTTATTTTTAAGCATTAAAATTTTTTTATTATATTTTTGTTTTTGGGTCCCACCAACGATGCTCAGGAATTACTCCTGGGACAGTGCTCAGCATACTGTATGGGATGCCAGAGAAACTAGGTTGGAACTAGGTTGGCCATGTTCAAGGCAAGCACCCTGCCCATTGTACTATCACTCTGGCCCCCTGGAACTTGCTTTTTTTTTTTTCTTTTTGGGTCACACCCGGCAATGCACAGGGTTTACTCCTGGCTCTGCACTCAGGAATAACTCCTGGCGGTGCTCAGGGAACCATATGGGATGCTGTATGCAAGGCAAACGCCCGGGGTTGGCTGTATGCAAGGCAAACGCCCTACCCACTGTGCTATCACTCCAGCCCCTGGAACTTGCTTTTATGTGCATAAAATAAAATATGCAAGAATTCAAATGAAGCCACTTATATTGAGTCTGTTTTCATTCTTCCAGTTTAGAAGCTTAGGGCCAGGGGATGTGAGCCAAGTGGCAGAGCAAAGGTCTTGCATATATGAGGCCCTGCGTTTGATCCTTGACATCAGGAGAAAAAAAAAAAGAGTTGACACCGCTTGAATGGGTTTTCTAAAACACGCTCTTTACACTCCACTTCTTTCCTCCCCACGTGAAGAACAACTTGTCTGTGCCCATAAATTTCAGCTCATCCACACTAACACGTTGCCTATGATTGTCTCCGCGGCATGAGCCTGGCAAGCCACTGCTTTTCGGTTTATTGTTATTGCTGCTGTGTGCTTGCCTGCTAACAGCCAGCTTTTCCAGTGACTCACTGCCCAAGCCGGGGAGGCGAATGGAGGAACTATTGGGAGAGTAAGAAAGAGGAATGAGTCAGGCTTCTGGGTGGTGTCCTGACCTTGGCACACAGTAGGGGCTCAATAAACAGTGGCTGCCTGAATGAAAGGGAAGTTGTGACTTCCATGAAAGGACCCCCTGTTCCCGAGCACACTGCAGCGCTTGTGGAACGTTGCCGTGGTTCTCCGGTGTTTATCGAGGCATGCCAGCTAGTAAATGCATTTTCGAGATCGGCATTCCACAACCCCACTGGCCCCCTTCCAGAATTCCAAGCTGACTCCCAACCTCCGGGATTACCAGCGGGGCGGGGGAAACTGAGAGCCGGCCAATGCGGAACTGGCCGGCCTGAGGCTACCCCAAGGGAGGCAAGAAGAGCAAGTTACGACCCAGGGGTTCGCTGGTGGCATGTTTGGGCGGTCTCGGCCGCCCCTGGCCCGAGCTCCATCCCGGGGCCCGCCTCACCTCACCCCTTCGCGTCCTCGGCTAAAATGCCCGAGGCTTCCCAGGGGCTGTTCGCACCGAGCCCTACCTCTGCAGCGCCCGGACCAAAGCAGAGCAAGGTTGGAACGCGCGGCCCAAACCCCGCCCCCCGGACGTGACCCCGCCCCCCGAAGCGCGCGAGGCTCAGCCTCTCCCCGGACCAAAACTTGACGTTAGGGCGATGGGCCCTCCCCGCATTCGCCCGTTGGGCCCTGGCCCCGCCCTCGGACTGCTTCCGGGCTTTGACTGGACTTCCACGTCGCCTCCCAGCCCCTCCTCCTCGGCTCTTGCTCCGCCTCCAACCTGCTTTCTGAACACTGATTTTTTTTTTAAAACCGCTTATTAGTTTCCTGGTTTATGGGTTTTCTTTGTAATTTAGTTTTTTTTCTGAGTCGTTTGTCTTGCCTTTCATTAAGAGTCTCCCCTCTCTAGACCCCTCCCCGCCCCCATGCATTCTCCAGGACCCGATTCCTGCTCTGCGGCGCTCCCCACCTCCTGAGCTCGGGCTGCTCCTCTCCCCCGCCCGGATGCTTCTCTGGCCCCAAACCTACAATAGGACCGCGCCCTCCCTCTAGCCACGCCCCGAGTTGGCCCCGCCCCAGTCCCGGCCCCGCCCACACACAACTAGGCCCCACCCCAGCACACGCCCAGCTCACGCACTCCTCGGCTCCGCCCCGGGTCCCCGCCTCGTGTAGGTCCACCCATTGGGCTTGAGCCGGATTCTGGTGGCCGCGCTCACCCGGCCCGCGGTGGCGGCGGCAGCTGGAACTTGACTGAGAGTCATGCAGTGCCTAGGGATCCGGCGCCGGAGCCGCTCTCAAGAGCTCTACCTACAGGAGCAGAGCCGCAAGGTGGCAGCGCTCAATGGGCAGAGATTAGGTAAGGGAAGCAGGCACCCGCGAACCTGAGCTCTTGGAGCCCCGCTTTCTGTTGGACTGCTGGAGTGACTGGGGGTGTCACTTGCTGGAGGGGCTGTTTCTGCAGCTGGGCTGTGTGTGGGTTTTGTGACAGGAGGGGTGAGGCAGAGCCCCTGCCTGGCCTGTTGACAGGTTCCAGGTAACACTGGATCAATGGCCACCAGCATGTGACGGTCACCCAAGATATCCTCCAAGTTCAGGGGGATGCTGAGCAGAAGTGTGTGATGTGGGTGACCCAGTGAGGATGGTCGCCACTGTGCACCGGTGTGATGGTGTGCCACGTACCCAAGTGGGGGACAGAATGGGATAGCACAACGGGGACAGCAGTGTGTGGCCTAAGCAATGCAGCCGCTCTGTTATGAGGTGTGTGTTAGGTGGGTTTTCTGAGGTGGCAGTGTGTCCCCGAGTAGGGGGCTGCCTGAGAGTCATGTTTCTTGGTGCTGGCTCTGAGGGTAGGCTCTTGAGTCCTGACTCCACCATGTAGCTTCCCCGGGCCTCAATTTCCTCATCTGTAAAATGGGAATAATGATAGTGCTGTCCTTGAGGGCTGCAGAAGGGATTAAGAACTGTGTCACATGCAGGTATTAGCTGTTATCATGATGATGGCTGCCGCTGCTGGGACCATGAGGACGTTTTTACATCCCATCTTGTGTTGCCCTGTGTGTGTCTCCATGTGACACAGTGTGGGGCTCAGCATCTGTTCTAGGTTGTGTGGCTGAGTGTGTGGGGGGGTGACTGTAGTTGTGGGTCCCAGTGTGTCTCTTTGGCCCTTCGCCCTTGGTACCAGGCCATGACTCCTGGTATGACCAGTTGTGGACGGCTGCCTGCCTGGGCAGGGTTGTGAGGCTGCAAGGGCCATGCGGGGGACTCAGAGATGACTGTGACCCAAGATATCCTCTAAGTTCAGGGGGATGCTGAGCAGAAGGGTGTGACGTGGGTGACCCAGTGGGGATGGTCACTGGTGTGGCCTTGGAGACCAGTGCACAGCTGTGATGGTGTGCCACATACCCAAGTGGGGGATGGAATGGGATAGCGCGATGCGGACCCCAAGCCCTACAAGAGGAGAAAGAACCACAGCTGGGCACATGGGGTCTGGGTGAGGAGTGTCCGTAGACTTCTTAGGTGCTGAGGGAGACAGCGGGTCGGAAAGGTGGCCCAGTGGCCTCAGAAGCAAAAGGGCCTCCATGAGGCTGAGAGGGAGAGGGAGGTGCCGTCCAGACTGCCTGGTGCCCTGGGCTGGTGGCTGGGCTCAGGATCCACCTTGGGACTGAGGCTCATGTTCCGGAAGCCACATGGGCAGCGGCGAGGGGTTTATCTCTGCCTGGCTGCAGATAGGTCCTCGTCTGGCTCCAGGACAGGATGGACCTGTCATCTCCTCTTGGTGTTTTCCAGAACTGAAGGGTGGGGTACGCCTTCTGCTTTCCGCCCCCTCCTCACTTTCCCATCTGTGTGGCCCACGCAGGAGGTCCAGGTGCACCCCCTTCTCCCCCCGGCCCCCAGCCTCAACAATGGAGCCCCTGCAAGGGTTGAGGTCACTGTCTCCTTGACCCGGTCCCCTGTCTTGAGTCCCACTGTCACAGTCAGGAGAGGGGTCCCCAATCAGCAGCCCCCACTCCTCCCCCTGGGCCTCTCCAGGGGCTGAATGTGGCTCCAGGAAATGACGGAGTGACAAAGTGACTGACAAAGTGATGGGATGAAGGCGGGGAAGTCACCGGAGACTGGCCAGAACAGCCCCCTCCAACAGTGCTGCTGGGGAGGAGGTGGTAGCACCAGACCCTGTCCCTGTTCCCACACGAGCGAACCCTGGTGGCAGGGACAGAGAGACTGCAGGTGGGACGAAGTGGTGGATACATGGAGTGGGAAAGATTATGGGGGGTGGGGTTATGGGGGGGCATTATCAGCGCCCGGGCCGGTGCAGAGGGCACTTCCTGGCACTCTCCTGGAAGCAGAGGGTCCAGGATGCTGAGCGTGTGGCGTCCTGGCTCTAGCTCGGCTCGACTTGGCTGTGGGACTCGGCTGCGGCTAGTGTGGCCCAGGAGATAACAGATGGAGATAGACTCGTGGCAGACACGGACACAGCCACAGCCAATGTGGAATAGATCTGCACACAGCCCCTGATCCGCACCGAGATGTGGGAGATGCTCAGCCACGTGTATCTGCGTGCATCTGTCGCTACCTCACACTGGTGGCTCCTTAAGGTGCAGGTTTCACACTCTGATCACAGTTGGTGCAGGGACTGCTGGGGCCCTCTGGTGCCTGCTTGGGATGAAGGCCGTCACGGCTCTGAGACCGCCTGGGTCTCCGAGAGCAGCAGAGAGCCAGCAGAGGCTGGGGGCAGCTGGGGTTCTCGTCACAGCTGAGGGACCTGCACTGTGCCTTGGGGGTCCTGGACTCAGGCAATTCAGAGATGGAGTGGCCAGAGCAGGCCAGGACTACCCAGCTGGCCAAACACAGGTTGCCCTCTGCTTCTCCCGGGCAAGGATGAGAGACTCACCTTTGCTGGTCCAGGTGAGAAGGGGACAACAGGGATGGGTGGGCCAGGGTATCCACAGCCACTGCATGGACAGCAAGAACGATGGCTTCCGTCACTCTGAGGCCTTCCCAGATTCTGCTTGTATCTCATGTCACCCGCGCACTCTCCTTGTAGGTGGATGGGAGACAAGGGAGGGTGAGCTCCATAATAGGAAGTCACCTGCTCAGGTCACACTGCTGGCCAGGAAGGGCACCTGGACCACACTGGTGCGTCCAGAGCTACAGAGGTTGGGGTGGGTGCTGGCGTCCACTCACCTCTGGAAGCCATCATAGCTGTCCCTTTTCCTTCCTGCTCTGCCTGACCTTTCGGCCCCAGCTTCTTTCAGGTCCCTTTGAGCCCTGAGTGTGACCAGGAGGGGGCCCACCTCATTTCGAATAACCAGGCCATTTCCTAGGGGTCTGGTCCCCCAAGGTACTCTTGGCGTCACTGCCCTCCTCATCAGACATGAGTGGCACATCACGGTGTTTCCAGGGTGACTTTGAGTGGTTGGGAACAACGGTTTGCCTGGGCCGAGTGGGCAATCAAGAGGACTCCTTGGAGGAGGCAGCGCTCCAGGAGTCGACGGGAGGAAGTGAACTGAGAGCAGAGGACGAGGTGGTGAAAGTGGGCCCAAGGGCTGGTAGATTCAGGAGGGATTCAGGAGGGGGTGGCATCTTACCTGCGGTGTCCTCCCCCCGGCCCAGGCCTGCAGGGTGACGAGGACCTCCAGGCCCTGTTGAAGGGCAGTCAGCTCCTGAAGGTGAAGTCCAGCTCGTGGCGGAGAGAGCGCTTCTACAAGCTGCAGGAGGACTGCAAGACCATCTGGCAGGAGTCCCGCAAGGTCATGCGGAGTCCTGAGTCCCAGCTTTGTGAGTGCCCCGGGAGTGTGGTCTGGGCTGGGGCAGTGGAGGGCGCCAGAGAGTGCCAATGTGGACTTGGAGGAGAGGTGGGCCGTGGCTCAGGACCACAGACAGGGAAACAGAGGGGGTCCGAGGGACAGAGGCAGACCTAGGTGGGGCTGAGCAGCGCAGATGGAGATGCTGATGCCTTTTAGGGGTCATTTTACGCCACCACAGAGGAGAAGGAGCCAGACCTTCTGGAAACCACAGGAGCAGGCCCAGACGGCTGTAGGAAGGAGGAAAGCTAGACTGACAGCCTCCAGGAGTGGGAGGGACAAAGCCAGGCCCAAAGTCCGGGTGCAGATATGGCCCTTCCGGGTGTCATGTTGGGCTGAGGTGGGGCCACAGGACATAGTGTCTCCCTGGGCTGGGGTGGAATGGGGCCTTGACTGGGTACCTCCCTGAGGTCATTGTCCCCCCCGCCTCCCCGGGTCAGGCCGAAGAGGAGAAAGTGCTTTCCTTTGTTTTGCTTTTGTGTTGGGGCCACACCTGGCAATGCTCAGGGTTTACTCCTGGCTCTGTGCTCAGGAATCACTCTTGGCAGTGCTCAGGGGACCATATGGGATGCCACAGATTGAACTCTAGTTGGCCCCATGCAAGTCAAATGCCCTACTCACTATCCTATCTCTGGGGCCTGTGAAGAAAGTATAGGCAAAAAAGTTCTGTGGCATTGCTTTATTTATTTATTTATTTATGGCTTTTTGGGTCATACCCGGCAATGCTCCGAGGTTACTCCTGCTCTGCATTCAGGAATTACTCCTGGCAGTTCTCAGGGGACTGACCATATGGGACACCGGGGATTGAACCGGGATCGGCTATGTGTAAGGCAAATGCCCTACCTGCTGTACTGTCGCTCCGGCCCCTATGGCACTGCTTTAAAACAGGATCCTTCCGTGAGTCTGAAGTGACAGGTCTCCCCGGCACCTCTACTGGAGGAACGGGGGGTGGTGGTGACGAGACTGTGAGACCAATGCCATCTGGGAATGATTTTCTGTGCCACTGGGAATATTCTGATACAGCACTTCTCACTGCCTGTGGCCACAGAGGATTGAAATTCGGTTGACGTGGCTGAGGAACTGAATCTTTCATTTTGCTGAATTTGAACTGATCTACATGAAAATGGCCTGGGTGGCTGGAGATAGCTTTACTGGGGGGACCACAGCAGCTGGGATTTACTCCCCAGACCCCCCCTGGAAATCCCTTGAGGGGGATGGGGGGCGGGTCTGGGGGGTGGGATGAGTCTCAGCGACAGAGGGGCAGGAAGCAAGGTGGGCTGCTGGGCCTCGGGACCCAGAGCGGAAGAGCGAGGTGTTGTTGCCAGCGTAGGGACCAGAAACGAGGCAAGACTCAGGCAGGTTCCAGGGCCAGAGCCTAGCAGGGTCCCTGAGCCTTGGTTGTGGCAGCAGGCCTGGAGCTGGAGGACACATCAGCACTGTCCCTGGCACTGGTTCTTGGGGCTCTGCTCTGGAAGGGGCTTCCTATGGTTTTCGGGTGCCTCTCACGCCCCGAGCCCCAGGGAATCCGGGAGCCCCTGGCCAGTGTGTGCCAGCACCTGGGCCCTTGAGGGAGCTGTGCTGGGCTGGCAGGAGGCAGGAGTCCCGGGGTGGGGTAGAGGTGGGGGACTCCATGCGTGCATAGGCGCAGAGGCAAGGATGGGGTGGCAGATCCCAGGTTGGGGTGCCCCAGGTGCTGAGGGAGCCATGTGGCCTGGAGAGGCTCTGACCTCCTCTCTGAGGGGTGAGCACTGGGAAACAAATGTGCCCCGCCCATGGGGAAACTGAGTTCGGACAGATGCAGTCTCTTCCTCCAGCTCTGCCACCACCAGCCATTCCTTCTGTCTGGCTTCCAGAGGGGACAAGGCCCTGGCGAGGGCGATGGAATCTGTACTTCCTCCTGGGCCTGGGAACTCCAAGTCTCAGCTTCCTGTCTCCTGTCTCCTGGTCCCCTCCCATCCTCCCTTTCCCCCTTCCCCCAGTCTGGCTGTGCTGTGCTGGAGAGTGGCCTGGAGGGTCAGGAGGCACCCCTGCACCCAGGTGGTCCAGGGCTCTACCCATCAGAGCCCGGAGTCTGGGCCACACACATGGAGTTCATGGGGGCCAGGAGGCCCTGGATACTGAGGTTCTCAGAGCCCCCCCTGCCCCATCCCCCTCTCAGAGCCCTATGCACCCGCTGCCTTGAAACCACACCCTGGCTCGGGTCTCCTTTTACCCTGGCTCAGTGCTCTCTCCACCTCTGTCTCTGCCTTCCTCTTTTTTTGTGTCCTGTTATCTGTCCTCCTGCCTCTCTCCTTCCTTTCTATCCAAGGCCGGGCTGCTAGCCCCTCCCCCCACCCCTGCCCTGACCCAGGGAGTGAGGAGCAAGAGCAGGGCTGGCCTCCCTCGTGGCCGGCTCTTCCCACTCCATCCCCTTCTTGCAGTCTCCATTGAGGACATTCAGGATGTGCGCATGGGGCACCGCACGGAGGGCCTGGAGAAGTTTGCCCGCGATGTGCCTGATGACCGCTGCTTCTCCATCGTCTTCAAGGACCAGCGCAACACGCTGGACCTCATCGCACCATCGCCCGCAGACGCCCAGCACTGGGTACAGGGGCTGCGTAAGATCATCCACCACTCGGGCTCCATGGACCAGCGGCAGAAGCTACAACAGTATCCTGGCAGAGGGTTCGGGCCCAGCCCACGGCTGCTGGCTGCAGGGGGTCCCTAGTGCAATTTAGGGATAGAGGAAACACCAGGGGCTATTACAGCAAAATAGAGTAGACAGAGTAGCTGAAACAACAGAAATGACCTTTCCACAGCACCGGGGACGGGAAGTCCGAGGTCAGGGGGCTGGCCAGGGTGCAGTTCCAGTAAGGGCTTGCCTCCTTGCTGGCAGAGAGCTGTCTTCTCACAGTGACCTAACATGACAGGGCCAGGAGAGGTCTCTGGTGTCTCTTTTTTTTTGGGTCACTCCGGCGATGCACAGGGGTTACTTTTAGCTCATGCACTTAGGAATTACTCCTGGTGGTGCTTGGGGGACTGCATGGAATGCTGGGAATCGAACCCAGGTTGGCCATGTGCAAGGCAAACACCCTACCTGCTGCGCTGTCGCTCTAGCCCTGAGGTGTCTCTTAAGTTCACTGAGAAACTGTGTCTCATTTCCAAAGTTTGAAATCTATGATTACAGTCACGGGTCGCTTCTCAAGAGGATGCATTCAGAGATATACATCATTAGGCAATTTTGTCTCTGCTAGTACATACACTTAGATCGTGTGCCCTGCTCCCCACCTCGGCCATCTATGGAGACCAGCCTTGTCTCCATGCTTCATGGAGGGGGCTATACCATCATGTTTGCAAGCGCTAAGTTTATGCTTTTTTCATTGAATTATTTATATTGGGCTATTCTTTGTCATGGTCCCAAGGATGGATCGAACTGGAGTCTCCCGTATTCAAGGCATGCACTTCACCACTGAGCCAATGCTCAGTCCCCTCCTACTGTCTTTCTTTTAAATAAATCCTTTAAAGACTTTGCTGCAAACAGTTCCTCTGGTCTGTCCAAAAACTCCAGGTGGAGTTCTCTTTTTCTTTTTATTTGAATCTCAGAATTTAAGCCATTCCTATGACATCAATTATTACTTCCTTTGTGATTTCTTCTAATAACCAACTGTCTTATCTTGTAAAAAAAAAACAACTGTGTCCCCCTGTCTTTGCTCTACACTGAGTTCTCTCTGAGGAGCAAGAGAATGGAGATAACAGAGAAGTAGGGGCATAAGTAATACTTTGAAAATGTTTTCAACATGTGAAAGACTCAAAGCCAGTGAAGAGGAAAAACCCCTCTTCAAGAGGATGTAACATTGCTGCTAAAGAGACCACCAGCTTTTGTCTTAACAGCTGGACATCAAGTAGGTTAGGTCTACAGGGAGCTGTGTCCATAGGTGGTCTCAGCCCAGCTGGACTCAGGAGTTAACCCCAGGATTGAGGCAGGGATCCAGCTAGGGCCTAAGGGTCCCAGGGTTCCTAGGTACTTTCCTTACTTCTCGTCCAGCTGGATTCATTCCTGCTTGCGAAAGGCTGACAAGAACAAGGACAACAAGATGAGCTTCAAGGAGCTGCAGAACTTCTTGAAAGAGCTCAACATCCAGGTGGATGACAACTATGCACGCAAGATCTTCAGGGTGAGGTGGGAAGGGTGGTGGTCAGTGAGGCAGAGAGGCCTTGACCCAGCCGGGGCCGGCTCTGAGCCCTGTGCACCCGGCTATCCTGGCTTTGCAGGAATGCGACCACTCCCAGACCGATTCCCTAGAGGACGAGGAGATTGAGGTCTTCTACAAGATGCTCACCCAGCGGGCTGAGATCGACCGCATCTTTGCGGAAGCCACAGGCTCTGGGGAGACCATGTCTGTGGGCCAGCTGGTGACGTTTCTGCAGCACCAGCAGCGGGAGGAGGAGGCGGGGCCAGCCCTGGCCCTCTCCCTCATTGAGCGTTATGAGCCCAGTGAGACTGGTAAGGGCCTGGGCAGGGCCTCATCGGGCTGGGAGACCCCTGGAAAGACTGCAGCCCAGAGAAGGGAACTGGGTGGGGTCCTAGCAGACCGTAGGTCAGCGTGTACCTGCCCTATGAAAGCAGGCCATGGGATATCAGCCTCTCCATCATTGCCCCCACCAGCTTCCACCTGCAGGGGGGCTCTGAGGATCTTGGGGGATGGGGGGGGGAGAGAGAGAGAGAGAGAGAGAGAGAGAGAGAGAGCGCACTGCCCTGGCCCTTTCTTTGCACCTATACTGGGCCCGGCCTTGGGATGTGATAGGGCACAGAGAGAGGGGGGTCCAGTCTGAAGGTGCAGAGAAAACGAGGCCCTGACTTTCAGGTGGGAGCCCTAGAGGGAGGGCCTCGCCCTGGGCTGGTCACAGTTTGGTTGGGAGATTCAAATACACCCCCTTCCTAGAGCATCGGGGACCAGCCCGGGACAGGGAAGCCAGGGGTGCGGGGGACCCCTGCCCTCGGAGCTGAACGTGCTGGGCTCCTCTTTCTCAGCCAAGGCGGAGCGGCAGATGACCAAGGACGGCTTCCTCATGTACCTGCTGTCGGCCGATGGCAGCGCTTTCAGCCTGGCGCACCGGCGGGTCTACCAGGACATGAACCAGCCGCTCAGCCACTACCTGGTGTCGTCCTCACACAACACTTACCTGCTGGAAGACCAGATCACTGGGCCCAGCAGCACCGAAGCCTACATCCGGTGAGGCCAGGAGGCGTGGCGTCACGGGGGCGTGACCTGACAGTGGGCGTGGGGCGTGGTTCTGGAGTGGGCGGGGCATTGCGGGGCGGGGCTTTGCACGGGTTGGTGGCGGGGGCGGGGCTTTGCGCGGGTGCGTGGTATGCTGAGAGCTGGGTCTCTGCCAATAGGGCGCTCTGCAAAGGTTGCCGCTGCGTGGAGCTCGACTGCTGGGATGGGCCCAACCTGGAACCTGTCATCTACCATGGCTACACATTCACCTCCAAAATCTTCCTCTGCGACGTGCTCAGGGCCATCCGGGACTATGCATTCAAGGTGGGCGCTCTGCCTGTCGGAGGTGGTGGGGAGGAAGTAGATGGTAGGGACAACTACCCCAACCTCCTAACCTGCCCTGGGGCTTGCAGGCCTCCCCTTATCCGGTCATCCTGTCCCTGGAGAACCACTGCAGCCTGGAGCAGCAGCGCGTCATGGCTAGCCACCTGCGCAGCATCCTGGGCCCTCTGCTGTTGGACCAACCACTCGAGGGCGTCACCAGCAGCCTGCCTTCCCCCGAGGTGCACCGAGGGATGGGGGTGCTCAGAGGAGAAGGCAGGGGACCGGCTGGAAGGCCAAGTGGGCCCTGACCAACTGCTCTCTCCATCCTTAGCAACTGAAGGGGAAGATCTTGCTGAAGGGGAAAAAGCTTGGGGGTCTTGTGCCCCCTGGAGGGGAGGCAGGTCCAGAGGCCACCGTTTCAGATGAAGATGAGGCTGCAGAGATGGAGGATGAAGCAGTGAGGAGTCGGGTCCAGCACAAGCCCAAGGTTTGAGGGAGAGCCTTGGGGAGGTGTGTGGCGGCTGCCATGGGTCCCTCCTTCATCATCAGCCTCCATCAGCCCTCGGGATGTTTGCTTGTGCCAATTCTCTGGGGCTGTCACTCAGACCCTGTGCCTCCCCTCTCTCTGTCTCCCTCTCTGTCCCTGTCGCTGGGTTTCTGGCTCTCAGGGCCCGCCCTACCTCACCTTCCCAATCTAACCCGGGCCTCCCCGTGGCCCCCAGGAGGACAAGCTGAGGCTAGCGAAGGAACTCTCCGATATTGTAATTTATTGCAAGAGCGTCCACTTTGGGGGCTTCTCCAGCCCTGGCAGCCCTGAGCAGGCCTTCTATGAGATGGTGTCCTTCTCCGAGAATCGCGCTGTTCGCCTGCTCCAGGAATCCGGTGAGCCTGGCTTGCCTGGCAGTGCTGCAGCCATAGCTCCCTGCTGTGGGCAGGCTGAGCTGGCGTCACTGACCCACACTCCCCTCAGGGAACAGCTTTGTCCGCCACAACGTGAACCATCTGAGCCGAATCTACCCCGCTGGGAGGAGGACAGACTCGTCCAACTACCACCCAGTGGACATGTGGAACGGGGGCTGCCAGATTGGTAGGGGTTGCTTGTGACTGGGAGAGGACCTGAAATGTGGGTGCTCGGAGCTTCTCGGGGACCCAAGCAGGGCCCAGAGCAAGGATGTGTGGGCTTAGTAGCTGGCAATATCAGCTTGGAAGTGTCCACTCACCATAAGTCGTTGATGCCCCTTGGCATATCCCTAAACCTTTGGATTCTGTATGGGAAGTTGAAAGTGAGGTCAGGGGCTGGAGCAATAGTACAGCGGGTAGGGCGTTTGCCTTGCACGCGGCCGACCCGGGTTCGATTCCCAGCATCCCGTATGATCCCCTGAGCACTGCCAGGAGTAATTCCTGAGTGCACAAGCCAGGAGTAACCCCTGTGCATCGCCAGGTGTGACCCAAAAAGAAAAAAAAAAGAGAGAAAGTGAGGTCAGCATGGCAGCCCAGTTAGGGTGGCAGGAGAGTTGATGTGATGCCAGACCCCACTGATGCCTCACCGAGGGATCCAAGGTTCAGGGGCCCCTGAGTGGGCAGCCTGCAGCCTGAGACCCTGTTCCACCTGTAGTGGCCCTGAACTTCCAGACTCCGGGACCAGAGATGGACGTGTACCAGGGGCGCTTCCAGGACAACGGGTCCTGTGGGTACGTGCTGAAACCTGACTTCCTGCGAGACCCCAACACCACCTTCAACGCAAATGCCCTGGCTCCAGGGCCCTGGTGGAGGCGGAAGCGGCTCAGTGTTAGGGTACGGTCAGCCACAGAAGGGGGCTGGGCAGGTGCTGCTGGGCCTCCCTTCTTCCTCCGTTCCCTTCCCAAACTCTCCTGTTGTGCTCTGCCTTCCCTCAGGTCATCTCAGGGCAGCAGCTGCCCAAGGTCAACAAGAGCAAGAACTCCATTGTGGACCCCAAGGTGACGGTGGAGATCCATGGTGTGGGGCGTGACGTGGCGAGCCGCCACACGCCTGTTGTCACCAATAACGGTAGGTGCTCAGCCCTTCAGGACCCTGCAACCCTAGCCAGTGTCCGGGCCATTGACGGGGAGGCCCTTCCCCCATAGGCTTCAACCCATGGTGGGACAAGGAGTTTGAGTTTGAAGTGGCTGTCCCCGAGCTCGCCCTCGTACGCTTTGTGGTGGAGGATTACGACGCCTCATCCAAGAACGACTTCATTGGCCAGAGCACCATCCCCCTGAACAGCCTCAAGCAGGGTGAGTCTTTGCCCAGTGGGGAACCTGGGCCTGGCATCTGCTGGGCTGGGGCCAGCAGTCCCATTGAGCGTGTGCCCTGGGTGACTGAAACTCCCCCTGCATGACCCTGCCAGGATTCCGCCACATTCACCTCTTGTCCAAGAACGGAGACCAGCACCCATCTGCTACCCTCTTTGTGAAGGTGTCTGTGCAGGATTGCTAAGCGTGGGGAGTCTGGTGAGAGCTTCTTCAGGCAGTCCCAGCCCTGGGTCCACGTCTGGGGATGGGGCCTATGGCTGCCTCCCCGCTGTGACTCAGAACCCGAGGCCTGCTCTGCCTGACTCTGGGACACCTGGTCTGTGCTGCTGACTCTCTGGGCACCCCTGAGCCAGTCCGTTCCCAGAGCCGTCCTCAATTCCGTTAGAACCTCACTGCAGCGCGCCCACCCACCAGCTGGCCCGAGAGTGAGGGTTTTTATAAAAATATTAACACTAAGCCACGTGTGGTCTCTATATCCGGATGCCGCAACAATCCCCAGGAAACGTGTGTGCAGGTGTGTGTGTGTGCACGCACGCATGGCTGAGTGTACATGTATGTGTCTGAGAGCCCCCGGCACCTCCTTTGCTACCTTCCCCAGCAAGAAAACAGCCCTTCTGTGGCGCTCATGCTGCTCTGCAATGTCATAGGAGGCTTCCTGGCCTAAGAGCCCCCTTCTCACCAGTGGGACCCCCGGAGTGATCCAGACTTGGTAGCACATACACAAGTTTTTACTGGGGATGGGGGGCAGGAGAGAGACCTAAAGTGACTAGGAAGTCACAGCAGCGTCTCCCCTGGCACTCAGAGGTGTGTGTGTGTGTGTGTGTGTGTGTGTGTGTGTGTGTGTGTGTCGGGGGTGGGATCCACAAAGGTCCTGGAAAGTGGGTGTCAGAAGATGGGAGGCAATTCTCAGAAGAAGCCGAACTGCTTTTTCTCCTGCTGCTGCCTCCACTGGGCCATGCTGTAGAATTCCTCCTTGGACTTCCCAAAGATGTCTTGGAAGTCAGAGTCTGAGAGGTAGAACTGTGGGGGGAGGAGGGATGCAGAGAGGGGAGTCCTCTGAGTCCAGAAATCTGTTCCCCCAACCCAGACACCCAGAGTTATCTCCCCTGGGCTCCAGGCTCTCCTCCCCACATCTCTCCACCTGCCACCATCCAGGACCCATGTCTCCCTGGAGCAGCCTGCCCACTGCCCCCCCCTCCTCGGCAGCCCCCAGGCTCCTCTAGCCTGGTTCTCTGGCCTTGGGCTGATGCTGAGTGTGGGTCTCCAGTGCCCACCTCTTTGTGGGCCGGGTCCACGCCATCTGGCAGGTCCTTGGCGGGCTGGTGCATCAGCTGTTCTCGCGGCAGGCTCACGGGCCTGACCAGCCTGGTGTCGCCATGGTCGCAATCGTTGCTGCCTATCTTGGAACCCAGCTCCGGCTCATTCTCTGAGCTGTCCTCGGGAGCCCTAAAAGCTGTTATGATCCAGGGAGCTTCCCTGCAATTGGCCAGCCAGGTGGACAGTGGGAAGTGACCCATTTCCTGCAGAGAGAGGCCACAGGCTGGTGTGGGGTGCTGGGCTCCCACAGGGAGGCCATACTGAATCTACCACCTGTTTAGCCCCTTTGCTGCCTCACTTTGAAGCCCCTGAGCTCGCCCTCTGCACCCAGACCCCGGGGGAGGGGTGTGTGTGGGTGCAACTGAAGGTCCCCCCCCACCCCCCACTGCTGTCATCTCACAGAGTCGGCAGGTCTTACATCCAGGCTGCTCTCCACCACCTCCTCATAGAACTGGTTATTCTGAGGGCAAGAATGAGGATGTGTGGGTGCAGGGGCACCAGTGGGGCCAGGAGAGCTTCCCACACCCACATGGGGGATCTCAGGCAAGGTGGAGATATTGAGTGTGGGGTTTCGGCCCACTCACAGTCCACTTGTTGGGGTCCCAGGAGAGGAACCAGCTGGTGAAGGTGGGGGGCTCATGACCCTGCCTGACCAGCACGATGAGGGTGGCCAGGCTCCTCCTTGCTGGGTGGTTTTTTAGGTACTCCCGGCCCCAGGCCAGCGCCTCCTTTGCCTCTCTCGCCGCCGACCCGATCCACAGGAACACCTGGGTCACAGACAGGGCCTGATGTGGGCCTGTGCAGAGCTGGCCTCTCCCTGCCACTGGGCCCAACCTGTGGTCTCAGAGCCCACCCCTTTGCTCCCATGCCAGCCACCAGGCACATGCCCAAGCATAAGCCCACCGGTGGGCCCTGAGTGTGCATACTGCATTCAGTCTACAGACCTCTGTGGGCACCTGTGGGAGCCGGGCACAGCTGTATGCTGGGGCTGGGGGTGTTCACAGTGAAAAAAAATTAGACACAATTCCCCACTCTTGGGGTCAGCGAGAGAGCTCAAAGGGGGAAGGGAACATGTGGGGGGCCCTTTGCATGTGGAGGCCCCAGCTTAATCCCTGGAAGCACATGGTCCCTCAATTGCTGCTGGGAGAAATCCCCTGAGCACCTGTAGGGGTGGTCCCCCAAACAAACACCACCCTCCTAGGGTGTTTTTGTGTCATTGAGTGGGTAGGGCTACAGAGAGATTGAAACATAGATCACCAGCTGGAGAAGAATAAGTAGGAAAAAAAAAAGAATAAGTAGGAAAGAAGCACAGTGGGGTGGTTGGGGTGGATAATGCCGTTTGAAATTAGAATGAGGGGAGTCTGAGAGGGTGATGTTTGTAAAGATTTGCGGGAGTGAATGTGTGAATCCCAGGCATGTCTGGGGGTTCTAATAAGCAGAAACCAGCAGTGCCAAGTTCCAGCACGCAGGCCTGGAGTGTCAGGGTCCAACAGTGGGGAGTGTGGCCATGGAAGCACAGCAGGGGAGTGGGAGCAGTTGTGGTCACTGGTTTGGGTCACAGGGGGGTTGTGCTCTAAGGGACTAGGGAGCCCAGACACCTTGTCACCAAGGTCAGACCCCTCTGGCCCCAGCGCAGTCCTGAGGGTCTCCCACCACACAGCTAGACAAGGAGTGGGTAGTCACATAGAGCCGCACACAGACAGTCACACAATGGCACCACGGCCTGATCCCAGCCCCTGCACACCCCCTTCAGTCACCCGCTAGTATCTCCAGTGCTATCCAGTGACAATTGGCCACTTGGCTGCACAGCCACAACTAAAAGGCCCAAGGAGCCACACCAGAGCCCATCACTCCCTTCACCCTGCTCTCAGAATCACATGCCACCAGAAGGCACAACAGTTACAAGTACCGAATGGATCACAGTCACACCCACATCTCAGGCACCCCGTCTCACTGCTCTTATCACTGTCACCCAGTGTTAGAGGCACGATGACATCCATCATCCACAATCATACAGGCATACAGCTTGGACTGACATCCCATGCGTGGGGGTGGCCACCTCACCTCCTGCCAGGTGTCAAGAAGCATGATGCCATACTTGTCCAGATCCTCTTGTTGGAAGAACATCACTTCCGTGAGGACCAAGCGGCCTGACTGGCTGGAGCACCCGAACAGTCGTGGCGGGAAGCTGGTGTCCTCCTCTGGGAGCCTGGCCAGTGTGGGCATGAGGTGTGAAAGGCGTGAAGGCACAGGGGCCCTGACACCAGGGGCCTGAGATGCACACCCCCTGAGATGCACATCCTGCTCCGCGCCCCAGTGTGAGCTCCGCTAGAGATACAGCCCATTAGGCCATCGGGCCCACCCCGGATGCAGCTCCAGCAGCCCGTGAATCTTGCCCAGAGTCACTGTGATGAGGGGAAGCTGGCTCCGTGCAGAGCACAGGGCAGGAGGAAGACCAGGTGCCAGCCCTGCTCAGAGCTGAAAGCCCAAACTGGGAGAAGGGAAGGAAGGCTGAGAGAGAGGAGAGCAAAGCATGGAGGTTTGTGACAGCGCGCGCACACACACACACACACACATACACACACACCACACACACACACACACACACACACACACACACACACAGCCAAACCCCTCAGGATTGTAGGGCTGGAGAAAGGCACTTTGCTCTCTTGCCTTTTGCCAGGGGGACAGTCCAGGACGGGGACAAGGCCAGGAGCACCTCCTGCCAGCAGAGGGCACCCGTGCCCTGTGTTCACCACTGTCTTCCCTGATTCAAGTTGCCCAGTTGGTGTTCTGGGAGGCCTGGGCTGGGTTCCTGCTGTGGGACCCTCTGTGAGTCTCCCTCTGGGCCTCCGTGTCCTCCTCAGCATGAGAAGAGCCTGCCCCAGCCCTCACCTCTTGTTTCTGGGGTACGGGGCACAGCCTCCCAGGACCTCCCAGAAGTGGGGAGGCTCTTGGTCCTCCAGCACCATTTCTTGTTTCTTCCCCGAGACGGTAGAGGCCACCCTCCGCGCCATCAAACGCTGGTCACCGTTACAGCCCTGGCAAGCAGAGAGACTTGGGTCAGGCCCACCACGGGGAGGGTCTTCAGCCTCCTGCCCACAGGTAGGGAGCGCTGACTCACTGGAGGACCAAGACAACATTCTCCTCTCCCTGCTGCCCCCAGCTTCCTGAGGCCCTCTCTGGACCCGGCCAAGGTGGGAAGGGTGTGCCAGGCTGGGGTGGGTCATTCATTCATGGTTTATGTTGGGAGCAGAGAACACTCTGGCAAAGTGAACTAGGACTCCCGTTCTTCCCAAAGGGCATGGGAAGGATCCGCTTCCTGCTTGAGGCAGGAAGGAGGGGAGCGGCCTGGACGTGGCCGGGCTCAGGCCTGTGGACTCCCACATCCCCCTGTCACTGTGGCGCCCCCAGGTTCCACTGGGCCTCCTCCTGCCTCTCCTGGCCTACCTGATATGGTCTGCCTCCTGTGGCATGGCCTCCTCCCCCCGCGACCCCTCATGTGGCTCACTGCCTGCGGTGGGCATCAGTGGCTTAGCATCGGGGGTACCTTCCCAAACCAGAGGTAGCAAATGCCTGGCGTGAGCAGAAGGAAGATGTCATCAGAGTGAAGTGCCGAGGCATGGGCTGGCACCTCCACAGTCTTGGTGTTGTGGTATTCAGTGCCTTGGATATGGAGGAGTCGGATGGCAGCTGGCCACTCCCCCTTTCCATTGAGTGCAGGGTTCTTCTGCAAGAGGATCATGCCTTAGTGGTCCTGAGGGGGGAACCAGATGCCAGGGAGCCCAGAGCTCTCTTCAGGAAGCCAACACTTTTGTTTTCTGGGTCTCTTGGGTGAAGAGTGAGACGAGCCCCTTGGTCTGCAATAGGACCTTTTCTTTTTTCTTTTCCTTTCTTTTATTTTTACTTGGGGGGCCACACCCAGAAATGCTCAGGGGTTACTCCTGGCTCATGCGCTCAGGAATTACTCCTGGCAGTGCTCGATGTCCATATGGGATGCTGAGAACCGAACTCGGGTTGGCCGCATGCAAGGCAAATGCCCTACCCCACTGTGCTATCACTCCAGCCCCAGATAGGCCCTTTCTAAATGGGTCCCTCACCCCCAATTCTGATGGGTCAGAGCCTGGCTCCACAGA